CTCTCCTCCTACGTATAGTTCGAGCCGTAGATATACCTAGCTAGCGTCGCGGTAGCTTCCTACGTAGCGTCTACTAGTTCCCTATACTTAGCTAGATTTTCTAGGGGTAGAGAGATAGTAAACGCGAGACCTAGCTATAACTAGTATACTTCGAAAGACTTACTAGGTACTCCTTCTCGCGCGGCGTCTATATCTCTCGCGGTATCCGCGTCTACGTACGTCTCTTAGCCGATAGGGACGCGGTTAATTTCGATAGTACTGCGTATCGACTCTACTAAAGGAAAAGGGAGATTGTCTACTAGATAGAATCCTAGCAAGTCGTTAGGATCGAATATGTCGAAATCTCCCTATTCCTCGTCTAACGTATCGGCGTAGACCTTATTACTCCTATCTAGCCGCGCCGCGATCTCGGCGGTTACGCCGGGTTCGTTATATATTAGAGTAGCGCCGAGGGTTGATGTTAAAAGAGTCAAACCGTTATCGCCTATAGTATTATCTTCGAAAGGAGCGCTATCTACTATAGGCGACGCTAACGTATACGACGCGGTAGACGGCTATACGACCTAGACCGCCGCTATAGTAGATAGTATATTCTGCTCCCGTAGCGCCTAATCGAGCGTAGGAGCTATTTCGGGCGCGTAAGTACGATAGAGAGGCGTCTAGTTATAGCTAACGGGACCGCTAAATGCTTTAACTTCCTACCTTTCGCTATACTATATATACGTAAGTAACGATAGAGAAGGGGAGGTAGAGGACCGCGTATTGCGCTTCGAACGCTTGCTCTGCCTTACGACTATCGTCGGAGGCGTTAGCAAAGTACGCTTACGTATAGGAGTTCGGAGTTTAGATGCTATAATTAGATAGAAAGTAATCTAAGGGATATTAGGATATTCGATATATACGACCGTAGCAGCCGATATTAGGCTCTTTAATATAGCTCCTCTACGGCTTACGGAATTATAGTAGCTAATATCGCCTAATATTTGTAACTCTATAGTTACTAGACATTTCTACTATAGCTAATTAATATAGGTAAAGTTTCGCTAACCGACCCGATAGGCCTATTCGTAATCTACATTTTGCGATATATTACAAAAAATACTATAACGCTGCATATTTTACGTAGGGCATATCTATTTAATTACGATATGTCTAGCTATAGTAAGACTAAGAGACAAGGTATAAATAGCTAAGGTAGGGAATATTAGAAAAAAGCAAATATACGAAAGTTAGCTTAGGGCGGCAATAAGAGACAAAGTACGCCCGCCTAGTTTTCTAGGTCTAAGTAATCCGTATCTCTTCTAGTTTTCTAAGCACCTCGACTACTTCTACGCTATATAAATAGAAACTATTTTTCCCTTACCGCCTTTAGCGTTATACCTAGACTCTACGGTCTACCGCGTCTTTGCTACTTATAAGCTCGTTGCCCTTATTCTATAAGAACTAGCCGTACTCTACTCTCTAACCGAAGTCGACGAATTTAAGTATATCGATCCTCGCGGTACGAAAGACTTGTTCCGTCGCCTTCCGACCGAACTAGTAGCTATCTAACGCGTCTATTACCTCTTCCGTATCGTCGTATAAGGCCGCATTAAAATTAATAACCTCCTCCTAGATCTAAAATAGTATACCCCGACGCGGTACGATACCTACTTCGCGCCGCTACTATAGTTCCTCTATTACGTCGGACTAAACCTAAAAGAACTAGCCTCCCTGCCTATAGAGAATCCTCGTCTATAATTACGGATCCGATAGAATAACGTACTCCCTTACGACGTTAAGTTCTATATATTAAACGTTATCTACGCTTAGAGGAGTAGCAACTACTTTCTATATCTCCCGAAATAGGTAAATAATACCGATAGCGTATAATCGTAGCGCCTATAGCCGGCGGCCGTCTTTAGTAGTACGCGTCGCATTATACTTAGCTTGCTATTCTACTAGCACTCCCCTTTCCTATATAAAGGCGAATTGTGTCGCTACCGTAGTATAATCGGCCGAGATATCGATATCGACGTAGCGAACGCGCCGACGCTAGAAGACGTCTTTAACTAGATTATAGCCCTACTAAACTAGGTGCGACCTCCCTAGACGCGTAGCGCCTTCTATATAATAGTAGATTAGGCGTAGTTTAATAACTAATACCGTTAATACTTTAATTATAGGCGATACGGGCCGCTTAGAGTTTGTAACTATAGCTACTCTAGACGGCCTTAGTATCGCTATCGCCCCGATACCCTAGCTATAGGGGAACTGTTAGACGAGACGTAGGAGGAAATCCGCGGCTCGACTATATAGCCGTTCTCTAAGTAAGCCGTAATCGATATTATATATAATTACAATTTAGGCATCTATCGGGGTTTATAGTTTAATAGTTACGTAGATACAATATGCCTACCTAGGTTAGTATTACGCGAGGTCTATCTAAACGGTATACCGAATAGTTAATCGGGGGTTAATAATACGTAGGCTATTTAGTAAATTGCGATATAGTAGGGAGGCGATAGTATAGATCTTAGCTTAGATATCGCTCGCTCCTTTATAGTTTCTAATAACGTAGCTGCCTTTATGTCTACCGTCTCTATCGCCCTTTTGTATATCGTACCCGGCCCTTATATCTGTCGGCTGTGTCTTTTATATCGACTATATAAACCGTTAAGCTCGAGGCCTTAGGCCGCGATAACGTAATCGCGTAACGCTCGGCTACTTCCGCGTAACTTAGATTTCGGCCGATATTAGTCGCTTTTTCTACCTGCTCTAACCTACCTTGCTTTAAATACCTTCTATAGTATATAATACCTATACCTTTATTTAGACTTAAGTACTATCTATTACCCGTATATCTACCCTTAACGCAATGTTAAGTACCTTCGAGGTATGTCTAGCGTATTAACTAGTACCGATATAGCTAATATAACCTAGATAGCGACCGCGGGCAACGCTTAGAACCTGCCTGTTATCGATATAAACGCGCTTAAGACGCCGCGCGCTACCGACCTAAGGCGCTAGCCGGTTTTCTCTAGAGTGCTAGATAGTATAGAGTTCCCTAATAGCGAGCCTATTAAGGCGGATAGCGGCCTTACTATACGCGGTACCTACGCTTAGCTACTCGAGGCATACGACGAATATAGCGGCTAGATTATTAGTAAAGGAAACTCGGAGGAGATCGATTACTTATAAGGACACTAATCTACGTTTGTATTACCGACGTTAGCCGCTAACTGCCGCTAGCATATACGTCGGCTATATAAAGCCTCTACTAGGCGCTATATATACTATAGCGCGAGCTGTGTTTGCCTACGAAATACGCGACCTTATCTAGGTTAGCGATATAGGTAGACACCTAAAGCTTAAGCTTATCGCTGTCTAGTACAACGGCAACGTCGGCCGTAAGACCCTCTATACTAAGCAAGATCTGCTCCTATACGGTATACTAACTCTACCGAATAACCCTAGTAAGCCTGCTTCCTATATGCTCGTCGTAAACGACTAGAGCTAGGTAACCTTTACGTAGCACCTATACGACGTCTTACGTAAAAGAAACCTAAACGTTAATAACGCCTATAGTAACGACGATATTAAGCGCAATCCGGATAAGTACGTATAGTATATATAGTAGGCGATCTCGATACTAATACGGGAATTGTATAGAGATAGCGGACGGTATAACTCTAGTAACCTAGTATAGTTATAGCTAAAGTAATCGATACTATCGCGTCGGAGGTACGCGTACGCGATATACTCTATATCTTCTCTATACCTACCTTTACCGTCGCTACTATACGACTACTATACCTTACGTAGTAGCTAGCTATACGTAGATAGTACTACTAGTAATCTTACGAAGCGCGATAGAATACCGCGAATCCGGTAGTACCTAAATTAGTAGAAATAAAATAAAAATAGTCTTACCCTTACCGTCGCCTATATTCTACTATATGTTTCGCTCTCCTCTTCTACTCCTCCTATTTCCTCCCTACTACTATACTACCTTTCCCGTAATAGACTAACTCTCTACTTACTACCGCTACGAAAATTGCGACAACCGCGTACGCTATCTTCGCGATATACTAGTAAGACGTATCGATTCGCGCTATCCTAATAGCGAAAAGAGAGTCTCTCTTCTAAACCTTGCCCCCTCCTCTTCTTGTTTTCGCTAATCCTCTATTTACTCTCTACTCTCTCTCTATCGCGCGCTAATACTATATCTACTCCTTTAGTAAAGAAAGACGCAGTACGATAGGAGCGGCGTTCTAGTACGTAACCGGAGCTAAGCGAGTAGGGACGTTTATAGCTACTACGTAAATAGAGTCTCCTAGCTAATTAGGTAGTCCTAAAGGTTATACCCTCGCTAGTTATTAGTATTAGAAGCTAGCTCTAGTTAGCGAAATGCCGAACTATATACCGTACTATATAGGGTAAAGTTTAGTAGCCTGCCTTACGTAATATTATAGATAGGGGGTTTAATTCCCTTATTAGCTACGATATTTTTTTTTTTTAGATTTATATAATTATCTATATTCTACGACTCTCTAGCTAATTAGATCGGTTCTAGATACTAAGAGTTATTCGCTCGTAGTCCCCGTAGAGACACGGGGTAGTAACTAGCGAGGGTATGATTTTTAGTATCGGAGGTTCGAATCCTCTATTAGCTATCCTTTTACGCTTACGTAAGGAAGACGATCTATACCCGTTCGCGAGGCGGCCGCGAGGCCCGGGAGTAGCCGCGAATTTTGAAGTTCCCGCACGTAATTTCCCCGCGTTCTCCTCGTTCTCGTTTCGCCCGATTCGGTCAGTCCCAGCACTTGTTTTCGGGTTATTCTAACATTATATAGAATTATCAGCGCTCTCGATGCTAATTTCAATCTCCATTGCGGTCCTCTATGAGCTACCGAAAGACTGATAACGGTCCATCAAGCGCGGAAGCACGCCTAAGCTCAATAGCATCCCATCTTCAAGCCAAGTCCTCCCTCCCAACCATCATGTCCGAACGACCCTTTATAACCTGCCATGTCCTCGACACAATCTCTGGCAAGCCTGGCGCAGGCATAGATGTCAAGCTGAAGCTCATATCTCCTTCTCAAGCCACTACGGCCCACTGGACCGCTACCACGAACAGCGATGGACGTGTTCCTGCTTGGAGCTCTTCTGCAAACATCAACGAGATTGTGAGCAAGGTCAAGGCAGAGCTCGCAGATGACGACCAGATGATTTGGAGCTTGACCTTTGACACGGAGAAGTACTTTGGCAAAGGCAAAACATTCTGGCCGGAGGTCGAGCTGAGATTCGCCGCGAAGAAGGAGGAAGAACATTATCATGTCCCGCTTCTGCTGGGACCGTGGAGTTATACGACATATAGAGGCTCATGATGAGCGTGCTGCCTTCAACATTGATGTCTGGCGACGCTGCTACGAGATCCGGTCACGCCATGACGAGGGATGTTGTCAATGGCGGGCGCGTGCACTTCGGAGACCACTTCGAAAGCATTACATACACTATGCACTCACGACTGGTGGGCAAATGGAATATCCACTGAAACCACATATATCGATTCCGATGTCTATAGCCAGCACTCTACGAACTAGGATGGATTTGGGAGCAATACTTCGTACAACTTGCACAAATTGGTAGCACAAGCCGGTCAGGGCAGAGGCAAGATATACTGAGAAGAAAAGGGCCCGATATCAAGAGACCCGCTCGCCGGCCATTCAGCTTGCGGCCCAAAGCAAGACCTAAGTTGTGCTTCATAACAAGCAATTGGAGCTTGCCCCGACCGAAAAATCTGAGAATACGAAGGCCTGCTGTGTATAGGCCTGGTCAAGAGCAGACTTCTGGTCCGAACGGAGAGCAGATGGACGAATTTGACTGAGCGAGGAAGGCAGCCGGCGTCTGGACTCTGAAGGTCCCAGCGGAAGATTTCGGTACCGAGCTTGGACATACTCTCCTTGGCGAAGCATATTCATGAACGACAATAATGTCCCGGCACGCAAGGCTGCTCTTGGGCTCTTAGGCAGGACATGGGCGCAGCGACAGCCGCGTAGCACCGAGAACTTTGTCGTGACTGCCGGACGTGGAACCCATCGCGACATTTGATCTTCCAGGATGTGGTCGATAGTTGTACGGCTCCTTCATTGGAGCATCTGCTAAGTTCGCATGCTCTTCTGCAGAATGAAAGTCAAAGCTCAGTGGAGTCCCTGTAAGTATGCGCGGTTCGGCTCAGCTTGTACCTCTCGCGTGGGCGCCAACTGTGCGTGGCCAGGCTGGCATCTGGCGGCATCTCTCGGTCTCTCAAGGGAGCGAGAGAATGTTATTATGTCAGTATGCCAAGTAGATATACGATGTCAAGACATGTACAGACTTCGTCTCTGAATCCCAAATACATATTCCTCACATCTGAAGCGCTCGACCCATGCAGCAAAAACAGAACATGGCAGTAGAAAGAGACCTCTACGACCGCCTCGCTGCCACAGCCAAGGGCTTCATCGAAGCCGCCAATGCTGCAACACCACGCGACAATAACCCAGACTACGACCTCATCAAATCCTTCGCAGCTCCACACTTTCGCATAGAATGGGCACCCAAACTCTTCGCCCGGAATAGTCCTCTACTCGGCGACGCGAAAGACATCGAAGGCTTCTGCAACCACATTCGAGGCATGTCGGCGAATCTCTCGACTTGGGCGATCCTCGTCAATGACATGTTCGTGGATGTGAAAAGGAGGACTGTGATTGCAAGAGCTGATTTCTGGATGTTGCCGAATGGTGGGGAGAAAGTGTGTAATGATATCGTGTTTTTTGTCAAGTGTGATGAGAGCGGGGAGAAGATTGTTGATTGTTGTGAGTATGTTGATCCTGCTGCGAGTCAGGCTATTAGGGATCAGATTGCGGCGAAGACTTGGGAGAGTAAGACTGCGCAGGCCAAGAGGGTGGATGGGTCAATGGGGATGGTGGACGTTGGGGTGTTGTGAGCGCGGAAGAAGTTCTTGGAGGATAGATCGATTACCTTTCTGGTAGGGTGTTGATATGCTCTGAAAAGCGACGGCCTCTTGGTGAATAACAGCTTTCACTCTTCTTTGATTGTGCAGCCTTTTCAGGCCATTCATCTCCTCTTTCTTCCGATGACCAGAAAACTAATCCGCCTATATGTTTAGAACGCGATCATATCGTTCGGTTACAACCATGGAGGGACTAGGCGTGAGTGAATAGAGACCTCGAGAGGCGTCTGCCATATTGCACTTGCGTACAACTCTTCCCGGTTCTCTTCACGACCCAGTAGCTTGATTGACCTGCTTTGTAGCATTCCGTGCCCCCAGGGACGCGAGCACCAGACCGAGTTCCCCTTCGCTGAGCCCTTCACGATTGCTATCAATGTGTCGTGCACGTATCACTTCGCATTCTCGTTTCCTTGCTCTTTCGCTTCACGCTTTCTCTGCAGATACTCCTCGTATCTCTTTCTTCGCTCATCGATGCCATCTGCGAGACCTGGATCTATCCATCCTCGGAAAGGATCTCCTACCGCGCCCTGCCTAGCATCATGGCTTCTGTCACGCTCCATATACCGCTGCCAGGTCTTGGACGGAAGCTCGGTCGCGGCATTGAATATGCGTGGAATCTGCTCGGAGACGAAGTGTCGTGCTATTGACTGACATGTCTGTAGGATCGTGTTCGGATCTCGCGGATCAGTGCCACCAGACGACATCTCCGATATCAGCAAGGCGGAAATGAGCAGAGGACGTGCAGGCTTCGTTTATCGCACTTCTTCTTAAGTCATATTAAGGTGTCATGTTTCACTCATGATCGTCGGCGGGTATGTCCAACCAACTCCAACGGCTCCATTGCCGGATGTTGAGGTATTCTTGTATGTCAGGAAATTTAGCGTACCACTGTTTGCAACAGTGGTTTACTTCCGGAGGGCGTTATCCACTGACTCAGTATAGTTTACCTAGTAATCGACGGTTCTTTTCCTCTTCTGGTACCGTGTTAACCTTCTCGGTTATACTTCCAGTTCTAACCTTATCTCTATAGCTCTTTCTTATATATAGATCTAGCTCTTTCTATAATAGCTTAAATACTATTTAATCGTTATTATTGTTATCGTCGCTATACCGCCGCCGTTTAGGCCTAACCGTATACTATATAATATAATCGATATCCGAAAGCAGCTATTTAATATACCGTAGGGGTTAACTTTCGAGCCTAAGCGCTTTAAGGTGCTAAAGGGCTATATAAGTAACGTATATAAGGAGGCGAAGTCGCAAAGGACGAAGAATAGATTGCAATAGTAGTCGTACTAGTATTATCGTTATAGGCGCGATTAGTAGCGAAATAGGTCGCCCTCGGAGGGCATTCGTAAGGCTAAATATAATAAAAAGCTATATAATACTATAATACTAGTTATCTCGCACTTCCGGAGCAAAGAAGAGGCTAATCTATATAAAATTAGTGTCCGCTATTACCGAGTCGACCCTTCTATAGTAGGTAATAACCTATACTACTATAACCTAAAATATATAGATATTAGGTTAGCTAATAACGCGCTAAGGGTATTCCTCGAGGAGTTAATAGAATAGCGCAAATTTAACGTCGCTAAGGTACTAGACTTTATTAAAAATAGCCTATTAAAGGACGAGTTTAGTAAGATTAGTAGATAGTATATAAAGGTTAGTACTATCGCCTAGTCGAAGATTAGGTCTAACCTAAAGAAAGTGCGTAGTACTAAGCGAGGAAATGCGACTATTTAGCTAGACGACCTTCCTACCGTACTTAAAGGCCTTTGTAATAATATAGACGGCAAAGAGCTCTAATACTAGGCGATTTCTAAGAAACTAAAGAGTAAGATAGAGCGCAGTATCGTCTTCTAAACCGACTAGTAGCGAGTATTATTAAATAGCGAGGCAGGAGATATAAGTATAGCTATCGTTATTATTGTTATTAGTAGTGCTATTGCTATAGAAGGTAGGCGTATAACTAAGCTTACGAGCTTGCGTTCTATTATTCTAACTACTAACTTTAAAAATTCAAAACATTACCGACTTATATACTATATAGTTGTTCTTGCTAGACGCAACTTATAAGACTACCGACCTTAGCTAGAGCCTTTTTACTATATATGTTCGTAATAGGTTAGGGTATTAGTTGCTAGTAGGATATATACTGCTCGAATCTTAGAAAGCTAAGCTAGTAGAAGCCGGACTTCGAGTTATCAAATCGTAGTTACTATACTAGAAGGCTATTGCAGCTATAACCGACGACTCGGCCTTAGAACAGGCGGCTATTAATCTCTCCTTTAAAGAGCGACCTATGCTTATTTATCTCTACTAGCGCTACGTTAAGGAGACCTTCCTTCGCTCGTTTCTAGAAGCCTATTATCCTAAGATTATAAAGCGATTCTACTACGCAATCTACTACGCCCGCAGCGTAGGAGAGGTTACTATCGATATAAATTAGATACAGGAGTAGTTAGGAGAGAAGAAGCCTATAGACTAGTAGAACAAGGTCTAATATATACGCTATAATTAGACTAGCGAGACGTTACGGAAATAGGCTACTTAGGCACGGCTCTATAGTCTATTGTTGCTGCAAATAAAGACAACTTCGCCTCTCGAGGGTTACTACTATACTATTAAGTATAACCGCAACAAGCGGAACCTCGTGTTCTACAACCTATATAGTACAATTCTCGAGGTTCTTAAGGTAGACGATAGGCTAGCTTACAAGGCATAACTAGCTAGCTATAGGGTTAGTAAAGGCATACAATATTAGTACTAAAAGGGCCTTCTAAGCTTCGAGTCTTTGCAACTACCGGCCGCTTAAGATCGCCTTCGAGAATAGGTAGATATTGCTATTAAATTAGAAGCTAAGGCGGCGCCTATATATAAGGGCATACTGCGTAGTTATAACTATATAACTCCGGCTCGCTGCAATTGCCTCGTATAGTTTCAAACCCGCCTACCTTGTTACTATATTCTACGAGACTACCTATTTAATAGACTAGAAATTAGTAAGCTATAACAGCGACGATATATCGAGCTGTTTCTAGGCCTTAACGTTATGTTTGCTTACGAATACTAGCGCGTTCTCGACACTTAGCAACTCGTAATCGAAGGTTACGAAGAAGACGCCGTTTCCTTAGTACAAACACCTTAATTAAGAGACCTTCGAGGCTACTTTAAGGAGGCCGTAGAAACACTGAATTTGAAGTACTAGCGGATAAAGGACGACCCTTCTATTAACCCTTCTATAAAGGACTTATTCTATGCCTTCTACGTACGGAAGGTAAAGGACTTCTTAGACAGTTACTACGTACTAAATATTAACTAGTTTATCGCTAACCTATAAGAGGTCCTATTTATAGGTAAGACCGAGCGATAGTAGACAACTTAGCTACCTTCTAAACTAGCGATACTAACTCGCCCTCGATTGCTACTAACAACACCGGAAACTTATTATATCTATACTAATATAACCCTCCGACTGTTACTAAAACGGCGCGTTTAGTCGTTACCTATTCGATAACCTATATTTATATTACCTTCGCTAGGCGACCTTACTCCGAGGCTATTTCCGCGCCTTCTACCTCTTCTACTATATATACCGCGCCGCGAGACAATATTAGAAACACAGTCCTTATAACCGCTCGATATAGACGACGTTAAAGAGGTAGATTTAATAGGGGATATAATAGTACGAGGTCTACCTATGCCGCTAGGCCTTCGCTATTTAACTAACTACTAGCATTAGGGTAAGCTATTATAGGTCTATATATACGGTATTTAAGAGGTTAACGGCTACGCTATAGACGACCGTTGCTTTGCCGATAAAGGCCTCTCTTCCTTCTTCGAGCTTCTTATCTTCTATAATATAGACGACGACCTTATTAAGATAATAATAGACTATATAAAGGAAGACGATATCGAGCGAGCCGCTAGGCGATTAACTAGCTAGACAATAGACGACTCGGACGACGACGCCGCTAATAACTTGCCTAGTAACGAGCGCGTTAGACGAGAAATAAGAGGTATAAGGATATATAGTAACCGCTAGTCGACCGCTAGTAAGGCGATAACAACTCGTACGAGACTACGCAATACGTAGCAACAACAACGAGGCCGAAGAGATAGCAACTAGCGAGGGTAGGCCTTTCGCTATAGTCGTAGAAGAAGGTAATTTTATAGCGATTCTATAGCAATAATAGTATATTTAATCTTAGTCTATATAATAGTCTTATCTACTATAAAACAGCCGCTTCTATAATAGTCTCTTCTACTGCAAAATAGCTACTTCTATAATAGTTAAAATAGCTACTTCCGATAGCCGATAGGCTCGAGAGAGGCGCCTTTCTTAACCTAAATCGTTACTATACCGAGTAGTTCTAAACGCTACTAAATTAGAGGATTGCGGGAGGCTTGTTGCCTAGTAATCGCTAGTAAAAGACTGTGTCCCTGACTCCGCTCTAGGTTCAGCTAAAACTCACTAAATTTCCTGACATATAGCAGTAATCGGATGTTGTAAGTACCGCGACTGCCGAAGCCCAGCGATTTCTCAACCACCACACCACCCGCTATCCACAGCAGTGCAGTCCCATTGCCTCAACCCATCGGGCCATTCATGTTGCCTTGCCTACTACAAGATCTGGCTGTGCTTCCACTCAGATCTTGCTTCGCTCGGCAAGCCTCAAGCAGTACCTGCCTGCGCGATACTTCATGTAACTTACAGTATGTCCAGTTGAGTGATTATTATTGACACCGCCCCCGCCGCCACCCTACGCAGTCATCACACCGCTGAAAGGGTTCCATCGCGACGGTACTGGCATGTGAGAAGAATCGCCTCTTCTGGAAGTCTGCCCGCCCGGCTGCTTAGGAACTCCCAGCCTCACCCACGTCATACTTCTGCTCATTATTCAGGCATGCTGGAGCCTGGATCGCTTGAACACGAACAGCACATGCACCGCCCGGTGTCGAATTGGCTTCATATATAAGTGTTATTATATTCCCCCCACCATGTCCATATCCACGTCTCCAGGATTCCATCTTCCAGAGGAGATCCTGTCGCTTGTTTTGGACCACTTTCGAGTACCCACCGCGAAGGAGATTGGCGAATTGCGTGATCCAGACTTTGGCCGCCTCAGTGAGCACGATTGTCAGCTGAAGCAGCATCTTGCGACCTTGTCGAGTCTCAATCAGGTGTCGAAAGCTCTCAATCGCATCACGAGGCCGCTCTTGTACTCTATTTTTCCTGGGTTCCGAGTAGTCAACGCCAGACTTTTCGTCAAGGCTCTTGCGAGGAATACTGAGCTTGGCGGACATGTTCAGCAAATCGTCATCGACAAATGGGAGCATGTTGCCTTCACCGACGATCATGGCGCCCACGGTATCGATCGTTCATACTTGTCTCTCGAAGCACAATGCCATCAGTATGTTCGAGACCTGCGCAAAGTCTCTTGCTATCCAATGGGGCTAGGATCGCCAGTTGGCTCTGAGCTCGAGAGCGGGAGAGCAGATGTTGTCATCACAATGCTGATGGCCCTCTGTACCAACATTACCGCTATCGAAACTTCCGTTCCATGTCTGCCTGCGGAAGCGCACAGGCACGCGCTCCTGCGAGCCCAGTCTCTGTGGTTCTTGCTAGACAATATGGTTTGGAGGAGATGGTCTAACGGCTCTGATAGGCGCTATAGATCTGTTCGAGAACTGTCTATTCGACTGGAGCGTCAGTCAGGCGCCTTTGGTGTGCTGTTCAGCAAAACAATGCTCGAAATGCCAAGACTGGAATCATTTTCTGCCCAGAGATTGAACTGCGTAAAGTTGCTTACACCGCACCCAATGGATGTTCACTTCACACACCGAGATCCATGGCCGGGTCTGAAGCGAATCGAATTACGAGAGTGTCGCATTGAGAATGCAAGTCTTGGTGCACTGCTCTTGCGTGCGCCGAATCTCCGTGTTTTGGATATCCAGTGGCCTGTCCAGCAACATCGTCTTCATTTTGGCATTATAGGCGAATTTCTCACTAGCCGAGGAGACAATCTGGAAGTAGTAAGATTAGACTCGAGACAGAATATCTGCCCACCATTTGAAGGCGATACCAGACCCTCCGATCTGGCAAGAACCGAAGCAATCGACGCTCCACTGGGATGCTTGCACGAGATGGAGAACTTGAAACATCTGGCTGCAACTCCAGCTGCCCTCTTCGGTTGCCATTTTGATGTGAATCATGACATTTTAAAGAATTGTCTACCAGTGAGCGTCCAGGAGTTGACAATTCTTGAACCGCAGCAACAAGGCAATGAGGATGCGTATCGAGACCCGATACCGCATCACGATATCACGGCCTTCCTCGAACATGCAATAGAGGAGGATCTCCCCCTCCGCAAGATCAACATTCACGGCTCGAGAGAGGGCTGGAAAGTGTTTGATAATCAAAACTGGTCGAGATCAGCGGCTGAAGTCTCCTCGCATCCGCCATTGTTGCAAACACCTCGATGGAATATCACCTTGCAGCGCACGTGAGAGTTCTGGAACCGTACAAAGGACATTGCGATTGGATTCGATTCTATTCGCCTGTCTATCTGCCAAAGTACTTCTGATGCAAGACGATCATCTGCACTGGACTTATCTTGGCACTGGGATAGGTTTCATTCGTCCGATCGTGAATACGAGGTCCAAGAGTCTGTATGCTTCCTTGAAAGCACCTTCAATCGACCTGATTTCTGTGGAATTGAGCTGGCAGCAAGACCCAGAAAAGCATCAAGATTATTCTCATTTGTGCGGTCTGCTTATGGGAATGAATCAACGAAGGGAGGAAATTTTCTCAAGGCCATGCTACTGGCCTTCAGTACACGAGAAAAGCTTGTCATTCTGTCGTAAACTGTAAACTCCTTTAGACAAATATGGAAGCGATAAATCTTTCAAAGCTCGAAGCACGTACGAAGTTCCAGGATTCAGAATGTTGCCGAAGCAAGCAGAGCCGAGAATGAAGATATGGATGACCTCAACTCGGCCTATCGGTGCCGTATACCCTGAAGCCAGAAGTACTTCCGAAGGCTGCTCGTCGTCGTAGTGCTGTCGTTGTCGATGCCTGAGTCTCTCTCCTCGTCTCGCGCCACATATGAAGCTTCTCCAGCATCGGCGCTCCAGAAAATGCCAGAAATATTGACGCACTGACAACGCCTGCGGTGACGCAAATGGCTACTGCCCAGAAGAGCCATTGCGTCTTCTCCATGTCCCTGATATCGGAGAAATTCATACCAAAAAAGCTGGAAACAAAATTAAGAGGTAGAAAGACGATGGTCACCACCGTGAACACGAGAATGGCCTTTCCATGGTCTTCGAGACGTATATTGACGAGTTGGATGGTCCTGGTGACCAGCCTGTCTGTATTATCTCGGAGATCTCGCAGGTCGGCTAGTTCTCGCTCGAGATTGTCCACGAGCTGTGCCACAGGGTCAGTGAGTACAGATGCTGAAAGTTGGCGATATGTCGACCGTCGCGATATGTGATTGTATGTGGCATCATAGTCCTCAAGGTCTCCGTAATGATTGGTCCTGGTCGACTGCACAGAGCCTGGCCTTCTGGCGACAGGCGATGGCGCTTGAGCGTCATTCGCACCACCCATGGCCTCCGATATACTTCGCAGTACGTTGATAGTGTCCAATTGATCTTCAGTGATCTGTATGACAATGTTAAGTTCTTCCTGGCATGCAATGAGATCCATGACCAGTTTGGTTGACGGCGCTCGGTGAAGTCGGTATTGGAGATGCCCAAGATGACCAGCGTATCGATCAGCCATGCATAGATACAGATCGGGCCAGAAGTTGCGATGCAGCATACCAACGGCGCCACTCAAGCTCGCGATAGTATGCGTAAAAGCAGTGTATTCTCGAGGCTCGTCGGACCTAAAGTAATTGTTGCGAATGCCACGAAAAGAGACATCCGAGATCCTGGACATGAGCTGGAATGGTGGCCAGCGTGACTTCCAGGTCTGATTAGACGAGAAGGTAACAACATGCTCAGGATCGATGGCAAGAATCCAGAGTTCGTCGACGTTTAGACGTGTGGGATAGCGACCATACCATTGTCGCACTTTCAGGTCCATCTCACGATTATTGCTCCAAGGCTTGTGCTTAGCAAAGACCTGTGAGCCTTCGCGATCATGAGTATCCTCCAGGCGATAATAGTACTGGAGGATAGAACGTACGATGTGTGCGGACGACCTTGATGACAGAAATCCTTCTCGCCTGTCGACCTGAAATCGGAGAGGTGGAGTTGGGCCCTGTGTCGTCCAGTCCAAGAATGGCACGGAAACCAGCAGAGGGTAGAGATCCTCTCCATCGCCGCTGACGGAGGCCGGCTGTAGGACTTTGGCGAATGGGGCAAAATGCTTGCCATGCTTGGAGAAGCGGGTCTGTCTCTGGATTGCAATGTCGAGCATACGCATGGAATCTGCTACAGTCGCTATGTCGTCAGACAAGGCCCAGAGGGTTCCAGCAATGTACTCCGGGAATTGGCTGGAGCAATGTATCCATCGACATTTGGCTGAATCCTCGTCGTCCAACGCATCTCGCTGGTACTTCCGCAGACGAAGATATCGCATCCAGCCATGATCTTCCTCCAGATTGCTGAATCGCTGTTTCTCTATAGCATTGTCGGTGGCTTCAGAGATGCGGAGGAGACTTGCAGAAGGTGTATAGGCTGCGCTGTCTGGAACCAGGCTTGATGCTGACCTTTCAACTATCTCCAGCAGGGGACCCCGTTCGGCACGCAGTGTTTCCAAGCGCACATCGTGGACCATCAACTGTGCCGGGGTGAGTGGCTTCTTCCTCCACTGACGATCATCCTCATAGTTCCTCGATGGCGGCACATGGTCGTGCGGCTGCCAAAGACTGGGGACTTTTGGCATTGCATGTTGGCAGAAACACGCAGGAAGTGAGAGCTGAGGAAAGGAGCGAGTGAGCAGTCCCAGAGCCGAGAGCCTAGGGGATTCGGATTCGGATTCGGATTCGTCTGCGCCACCGCCACTGCCACCGCCACTGTGGCTGGTGGAGGTCCGAGGTTCTCGCGAATCATGCCCACCTCCCAGAGCAAAAGCACAGCGCGTTGACATGAGATCTTTTCTACGTTTCTCTCCGCCCCGCCCTTCCAGCACATACATAGCATGGCCTCAGGCGCGAATGGAGAGACACTGGAAAAGTTCGATGGCCTTGAGCTGCCCGCTGCCGCCGACATGCATGTGCATTTGCGCGAAGGTGATATGACGGCTCTCGTGGTGTATGGAGATCCCGAGCGTGTGCTTCCTGCGAGAGATTGACGATGTGCAGACCAACCATCCGCCACGGTGGTGTCAATACCGTTTTTGTCATGGTAAGAGAGCGACGATGTGATCGGAAGCGGCTCCGGTGACCTGACATACGCAGCCCAACCTGGTGCCTCCCATCACGACCGTCAATCATGCGTTGCAATACCAGCGACATCTTCACAAGCTGGAGCCAAACGTACGCTTCCTCATGTCTCTCTATCTCCACCCAAACATCAAGCCAGAGACCATCATCGAAGCCAAGAAAGCTGGGATCACCGGAGTGAAGTCGTATCCTCATGGAGTCACCACAAACTCAAGTCACGGCGTCATGTCGTATGAAGACTTCTACCCGGTATTCGAAGAAATGGAGCGCCAAGACATGGTGTTGAATCTGCACGGAGAGCTTCCACCATCCGCAGGCGCCGATATCACAGTCCTCAATGCCGAAGAAGCATTCTTGCCCACCCTCCTGGACCTTCACAAGCGCTTTCCAAAGCTTCGCATCATCCTCGAGCACTGCACGACCGCGGCTGCCGTACGCACAGTGAGCTCTTGCGGCGACACAGTCGCGGCTACGTTGACTGCACACCATCTCTGGATCACCGTCGACGACTGGGCCGGAGACCCACACTGCTTCTGCAAACCCGTCGCCAAGAATCCTTCAGATCGACGAGCCCTTCTCGAAGCCGCAGTCAGCGGGAATCCGAAATTCTTCTTCGGCAGCGACTCCGCTCCTCATCCCGCCAAGGCGAAGCGCACCGACAAGATTGCTGCTGGTGTATTCACACAGCCTCATGCCGTCGGATTGGTCGTGAATGCCTTGGAGGTTGGTGTCGAGAAGGGCTTGATCAAGCAATCTGACGTCACGGCTGAGAAGCTGGAAGGCTTTCTGTGCACTTTCGCTCGTGACTTCTACAGGATCAAAGATGAGAAGAACGAGCGTATCGTGCTTGGGAGAGGGAAAGCTTCCATCGCTGAGAGTCTGGTGACGGAAGATGGCTCGATCGAGGTCATTCCGTTCCGAAGAGGCAAGGTGACTTGGGAGACCTCTTGGAAGTGAGAGTGGAGGCGGCGGCAGCTATATTCCGCTTACACTAGTGACAACAGCAGACTTTACATGCCTTGACTCACGGCCAGCATGGGCATCTTGGTCCCCTGCAACTGGCACGGAAGTGCGATCAATGAACGGAAATTGGAGACGTGTGCATTGGAACGTGGACGAAGTCACGATGCATTTGCATCAACTCGTCACACTATCTAAAGATTTCGGCAAAATAAAGTCGCAACGGGCCTTGCGACGAGCTTGGAAAATGCGAGCTCGCATCGGCTAGTGTAGTCCTCCGACCCAGAACACGACAATGCTGACTCAATCAGCAATTCGAAATGAATGATCAATGTACAGTGTGCGAAGTATAGTCATCCGGCCGTGGTCGCGTGTAAACACGACATGTTCCCCAACTCCTTCATCATGCATCATAAGATCTTCCCTTCCATATCAAATGGAACGGTGCCTCGTGGCGCGCGCTACGTCTCTCGAGGTGTGAGCGCAACCTTAGCGCCGTGGAGGTTAACACAAGTCAGAGTGATGAATTCAGTCCAAGGGTTGGGGCCTCTGCTTTCGATTCCACTGAAAGCCTGGCACAGCCGCACAGTGCAATAGCTAGCCTCGGTCAAAGCGAATTGCTGCCCTAGAATCACGCATCATGTCAGTGCTTGTACCTGAATGACGGGGTGTCTGTGTCTGTCGACTCACCTAGACAAATTCTCGCTCCGCCGTTGAACGGAAGATACTCCCATCCTGGTCGCAGACCTTTCTTTCCCGTGACCGGATCGTCGAGCCATCGTTCTGGCTTGAACTCCTCGGCGTCTTCTCCATAGAAGTCTTTTCGTCGATGCATAGCCCACACACTCCAGGCCATGACAGAGTCCTTCTTGATGAAGATCGGAGCTCGACCATCTGGTCCACCTCCCAACGGCAGCGTGGTGTCTTCTGTTGCTTCCCTACTGTTCAAAGGAACGACAGGGTGGAGCCGCAGCGACTCATTCAGTAAAGCTTTCACATACTTCAAGTCTTTGAGCTGCTCGAATGACGGTCGGGCATCGTCGAGCTGCTTCACCTCGGCTTGCAACTTTTCCCAGATATCTGGCCGGTTGGAGAGCGTATACCAGACATTCGTGAGGAGCGAAGCGGTTGTGTCTCGGCCTGCAAGGAGAATATTCAGAGCTTCGCTACGGATGCGGATGGGATCAGTAGTCTGCTTCACCAGCTCATCGATGAAGACATATCGACCACTTTTGCCGTCGCCAATCGTCTTTTCGGCTAAGATCTGGTCGCGCCGTGCAAGACCCTTCTGAACGTAGTAATCAACGAAATCGTGAACGAATTTCGTGTCTTTCTCGAATCGTTTCGTCGCAAGGAACAGCTTCCCTATCGAGCCCCATCGGGCTAAGTTGGCGATGAAGTCCTGGCCATGAGTGAATGCATCGGCGAAACCATCGGTCGTGTTGCTCGCGAGGGAATTGGTGGACTCTCCAAAGAGGAATTCAGTGGCCGAGTCAATGGTCAAACGGAAGAATAGCTCCGACAGGTCCACGGTCTGGTTCCGCGGAATGATCGATATGAGCTGCGAAACATGCTTTTCAAATGTGTCGACGTCTGCGACCTGAGAACGCACAAAATTTGGTCGCAGCATGTCTCGAGAATGCTGCCACGCTGAGCCGTCGGTAGTGAAGATGCCTTCTCCCAGTAGAGGTCGGAAACCATACTTGCGCCTTCGTCCCAGGCTCCATTTGGTATGCTCCTTGGCTTGAATGATTTTGAGGTTCTCTGGTTCGGTTGTGATGTGCATGTGTTGACCAAGAAGCACGAGTTGATATGTGTTGGAGCTGGTCTCAGAAAATCTCCGGTGACCGACTTCGAGCATTCTGTGTTCTTTCAGAGCTTGCACATTCTTCCGGAACAAATTCAAGCCTGTAATCTTGTCCCATTGTGGATACCACGGTGCTTCCATCACGCCCTTCTCGCGCTTGAATGCTCGCCGCCTGGCCCACAGCGTGATGGAGGTGATGACCTGATATGCGATGTAGAGCGTCGCCAGCCCTAAGGCGGCTCTCGTGGTGTGGCTCATGTGCGAGACTTCCATGATCGCCACTGTCGTTGCTGGCAACGGAGAGCAGAAACAGGTGGTTGCTGAGCAGATAGCATATGGGGTAAGGAGTGGTCGAATTCCAGGAACAATAGCAACATAGTTACTGTCATCAGCGATGAACGCCTCGGCGGTACACATGCAATACGCGGTTCAGGCATGTGAGCAAGGAAGCTCCATGAACGATGACGCCTGGGCGGATTCAGCCGGGAACGAAGGCGACAAAGCCACTCGGAGGCAAGCCATTCCATTCGCTGATGCTGGTCCTCGTTTCTCTTCAGCTCGCTCAAAACATGGTACAAAGGCTGGGCGTCTTTTGGAGGTACTGCGTGCATACGTACAAGAATCCATCCTCGCGGTTCTTAATAACACATGAGAAAACATTCGAAGCCGACATTCGCTCCAACTTCCAGGAGAGGATCATAGTGCGAGTCCGGAGACTGATGGCCAAATGGCAAATGCTCCAGGACGGCGACAAAGTTAGAACTATCCGCGACGCGCTTATTTGTTGACCGTGTAGAGTCTGTAGACGCGAGGCATATTCTACGGGCTGGCGTTTATCGTGATCACCAAACGGCGACGAGCGACAGGCCGACTTTGGCCATGCTCTCTGAAATCAGGGCTGTTATGACCCCGGCACCACTAAGCAGATACTCGGGCATGCTATCTCGCGTACACAGCCTCGGACATCAAGCTGGCCTGGAGGCATGGAACTTCGACTCCGATCCCAGAGCGACCACGAAAGTGTATGTGGAAGCGAGGGATTTGCTGTATTGGGCTCCTCTATATATGTCTACACTGTCTAGCTGGCACTCGGGCAACTCGTCGCGAGGGACAATGCCGCTATTCCGAACGAGCGCAGATCCGTAGGTTGTAGACCGCCGTCTGGTCTCGAGCATCGAACGTAGAGTGCGCATACAGTGTTTCGAGTATGATTTTTTCTGCAGACTTACTTACTCGGTAAGATCTAGCGAATTCTACATAGCCGCAGACTCCCTGTACTCAGACCAATGTCTGTATATATTCTGCGAGGAGCTTACGAGAATACCTTGGGTGCAGCTCCGCAATCATACGTGTTCTCGTGCGTATGAACCGTGTTACGCTTGGCGTGAGGGTGGTGATGCAAGCCTCTCGTCTTGACCATCTTCATTGTGGAGTTTCTGGGCGGGATGCTCGAAAGGTCCGAGCCATAATAGGCGATCGAAGCAGCGATTGCCTTGGTGTTGGTGAGGAAGGCTTCAAAGTTGAGATTCGTGTAATTATCGCCAGCGAGATGGTAGTTGGGATCGTAACTGTGCAATCAAAGCAGTCAGTGATGCGGTTTGTTGACCTAGCAGTAGTTCTAGATTGAACTTACGCAACACCAGCTTGGCCACCCCAGAGCAATGCTTCCTCAGCGGTTTTGAGCTGCTCGGCGCCAGTGAAAATGCCACCAGCCGGGATACCAGCGTCCAAAAATGGACCGTAGTCGGATCGACCATCAAAGGCCGTCGCCTTGGTAGGAATACCTTGCTCCTCGAACCAATCCTCGAAGAAGTGCTCGACCTCGGCTGAGCCAGGTGGTCCAGTGATGTTGAAAGTGTCACCGTCGCCTGAAAAGGGATGGGTTTAGCTCAGCAAGTGTCTCAAACGGCCCTCAGATCATTGCTTTCTTACCATCGTACAAGGCATACTGGAAGTTTGGTGAAGCGATCATGTCGAAATTCTGGCGGGAAATCAGTGCATTGAAATCAGTTGGTTTGGTGTGCAAATGGACTCACAAGGTAGAGCTTGATCTTGTCGGCTTCGGCACTCGGCAAGGTTGTAACGTAGTGCTCTGAGCCAAGCAGACCGAATTCTTCTGCAGACCAGAAGCAGAAGCGGATGGCATTCTTGGTGCTGTAGCTTGCAAGCTGAAGTGCAGTCTCAAGTATACCGCTAAAGCAGAAGGCAAAAGAATCAGTAAGTGTCTCAAAACCACTCCATGGCAACCGCTGAGACCACATTGCTGCCTCTGACCTCAGGGCCTCAGCGAGATCCGCTCGGTGGAGTTGTGCCTTACGCCCTTGGATGTACTTACATAGTTCCGCTACCGTCATCGTTGATGCCAGGTCCAGCGAAGACGGAATCGGAATGAGCTCCAATTGCCAAGACGTTGTTTTTGTCGCCTCCAATTGTATCGGCAACGATGTTATACGTTGTTCGGTTCTCGATTATACTGTCCACCTCCAGTTGTCCCTCAACCACACCTGCCTGGAGCGCTTCCAGGATCGCAGTGCCATTTTCTTGAGAAACACCGGCAGAAGGAATGTAGTCACCGAGAGGATTTGGCGGCGCTCCAAGAGTGCCTCCGCTAACTGGTCCTAGCACGTTGTTGTAGATGATCGCACCTCTGCAAGGACATAATTAGCAGCTTCGCTGAACACTGTGGCAAGCAGTTCGCACTTGACACTTACACAGCACCGGCGTTGCCAGCCAGGGCCGACTTTGTCCCAAAGGTGCATTCTCCTCTTGAGATCAAAGCGATTGCGCCAGAGACGGCATCGGTATAGTCGGTTTCATTGCAGCCTAGATTTTGGACTTCAACGATTGGAGCGGTGATCGTTCCGTCGGTAGATGGCGAATATTGGTAAATCGTGGACGGGTATTTCGTCTCTCCGGCGATGAGCGATCCGCTCGCTTGAGAGTAAAGCGCGATGAACTCTTGTCGTTCATAAGTGTAGTAGTCCTTTACAGAGTCCAGATAGCCTTCGATAAAGTCCAATGTGCCATCATGGCCTGGCGATGAGAACACGCGATTGCGCATTGGTGTGCTGTATGCGACATCCTCCAGCTCTTTGGCTTTCTGTGCTAGAGCTGCCTCTTCGATCGACGCTTGGAGCTTCTTCGAATCGACCTTGGGCTTATTTGCATTGTTGTAGCTGTCTTGTCGTGCGTCAATGGGGCCGAAAGTTGCATCGGCCAAAGCAACGAGGGCAGAATACTTTACGAATGAAGCAGCGCGAACCATGTTGATAGAGATGCTCCACGTAGAATAAACACTACAAACACCCACCTTGATGGGCGAGCAAGTGGTACTTAAAGCTGCCATTTCCTGGTGGAGCACGCAATGCCGCCGCCTTCGTTTCAGAAGCAAAGGGCCACTCTTTGCAGCGGACCTGCGTATCGGCATTAGTCTGCTGCACCTACCTGTCAGCACACAAGCAACACCAGATGGCATAGATGATGTTACGCTGCCAAGTGATAGCTGTGTAACGCAGAGCAAACAAGCGAGGCTTGGAAGGCGGAGTTGGCGAAGGATGGTTGTCGCCAAGGGCTTGTCGCATCCACAACAGACTGCAGTATACGGGAATTGCTAAATGTCCATTGCCGCTAGGCTATATGTCCATTGCTACCTAAGGGGTTTTCCGTCCCGGGTATAGCGCTCTTTACAGTATAGACATAGTAGAGCCTGCGGCTTTAGCCGGGAACGCGTCTCTAGCGCGTAACTTTATAGATTTCGTAGATTTCGAAGTATACTAAAGCTATTAAAACAGCGGTATAGTACTAAACAAGGCGTTATTATAGCTTCTTCTTCTTAGACTAATTATAAGGCCTCCTTTTACCTCTTATAAGGCTAATACTTCGGTAATAGACCCGGAGATCGCTAAGCCGGCGATTTCTTCTAAGATATCGATTAAGAGAGTACTTATAGTAGTAAAGAGACGCCTAGGGATAGCGGATTTAATAAAGCCGACCTCGAGGGTCTAAATAAGGACGAATTAGCTAAAATCGAGGCAGATAAGGAGGCTACGGCAGAGGCGGAAGAGAGCTAGTCTTAGTTAGCGAAAGAGATTAATAAGGCATTTAGTAATAAAGAGACGGTAGAAGGACTAGCCGTAGGCGTCGAAGAAGGCGAAAGCGATAATAAAGGTAATAGTAAAGGCGGAGTTAACGATAAAGGTAATAGTAAAGGCGGAGTTAACAATAAAGGTAATAGTAAAGGCGGAGTTAACGATAAAGGCGAATAGATAGCGGACCCTCTACGAGAGTTATATCGATCGATAGAGGCTACTTTTAAAGAGGCAAATGCGTAGGCTTAGAGCTATAGTTACGCTATAATAATGCGAGGTAGTAACGTCTCGAAGCGTATAGAGTTTAAAGGCCTAAACGCCTTTATTAGCAAGTACTATATTTGCAGTAGTTCTAATAGTAGAAGCAAGGCTCGTACTAATAGCACTAGCTACCGTCTAAATACGACATCTACTAAGCAAGCGTATCTATAGTCGCTTACGCTAAGAGCGTGTAATTACGACGACCTTTATAGTCGCTAGAGGGTCGACAAGTCGAGGAATTAGTATACCTATAAAGGAGGGTATACTAATACTAATAGTAGCGATTTTACGGTTTACCGTCGCCGCTAACGTAAGGCGGCGAGCTCGAAGATAATAAAGATAATCCGTAAGGACTTAAATTACAATACGAGCGCTTATATAACGATAGCGCGGTTATAGAAGAAGGATAAGAAGTATAAGTATTATCGATTAAATATTAAGTTACCTAGCCGAGCTTCGGCCGAGTAGCTTTCCTTTATATTCTTACTATTAAACCTAACCCTCTTGCTAACAACGACCTATCTATAGGCATTTAGACTATTAAGGACATTAATAATGCGAGGATAATGTATCGGAAGGTCTAATAGGGTAATTTAAGCGCTATAGATACACTATTCCGGCACCTAGATCGGCTTAGATACTAGTACGAATATAATACCGATAGGACACCTAGAAACGAGGGCAGGATTGACAAGTTAATAGTTATTAACCTATAAATAGCTAAGTTCTACGCCCTATATCTAGAGTACCTTATTTGCGATAACACCTATAAGACTAACTACTATAATCGACCGCTTTTTAATATCTCTAGCGGTACTAGCGGCGGCACTACAATACCGCTTAAATACTATATTATAGGCAAAGAAGATAAGGCTAGCTTTACGTAGGTATTCGAGGCCTTTAAGCGGATTAGCAACGTATACGATTTGCTACAACTAGGCTTATAGGTCACTAATCGAGACCGTAGTTATATAAACGCTTTAGATAAGGTATACTCGACAACGCCGGCTTTAATCTATACCTAGTATATCTTCAAGAATGTATAGTTATAGGCACGGAAGTTGATGCTATAATAAGCTAAATACGACGAAGAAACAGGTGCCTTTATAGGCTACGAAGATCAACTAGACTACGAGTCGTTTATAGCCGCCTTTAAAGCCTATATAGAAGCAGAGATAGTAGCTGAATTCGGGGAATTGCTAAATGTCTATTACCGCTAGGCTATATGTCTATTGCCTCGGATTCTACTGCCTATTCTAGTTAGCGAGGGCTCTAACTACCTTGCTATATAAAACGCTATACAAAATCGATTACGGAGGTCCGTATTAGAACTCCGGGTAGGTAGTAACGATTATAGTTAAGGAGGAAGGGTTTCTAAAGCCCGCTAGATATATAGATTTAAAGAGACTATCTTCTAGTACTAATTTCCTTAACCTACAAAGTATACTATCTTAAGTAAAGCCGTAGCTCTTGCTACCGGTATAAACTAACTACCTTATAGTCTCGCTAGTAGTACAGTTGCTAGTAGTAGTAGAGCTATAGTAATAGGCCTAAAGGTTAAGTAAATAGCCTATTAGTTAGAAGGCGGCGGAGCGTCGTTTTAGCGCTATCTCTATATAGCAAGAGCGGCCCTTTATATACTAGCTAGATCGTTGCTAATAAACTCGTATCGCTTAATAGGCGTATAGACTCGTAGTTGTTATATAGAGGCTCTTATACGGCCTCGTCCTCGTCTACGTCTACGAGTAGATTAAGAAGCCGTATTATTAAGGTTATTAAGCTCGAAGGCCGAAGGAATACGGCTATTCGCGCGGCCTATACGACCTCTACGGCTACGACTATTACTACGACTATTGCTACGACTATTGCTACGACTACGGTTGCTACGGTTAGAAGGTAGAGTTGTCGGTTTACGCGTTTAAATAACCTCTATAAGGCGGCGGAGTAGTATAGCGGACTTATCGATATGCTAGTACCTGTTAAAGTCTTCCGGTTTGAAGTAGAAGTAGCTAGTTTCTATAAGCTAATCCCTTACTATATACTTATATATAATTCCCTAAGCGTACTTATAGCGGCCTATATAGTACGAGCGTATAGTATTAGGGTCCTTAATAAGCTCTTTAACCTCCTACTAAGTATACGAGTACTGCTTACTAGCTAATTGCAGTGCCTAGCGGTAAATAATGCCGTTATACTACGAATACTCGGGCTTCTTTATAGAGAGAGGTATCGCGAGCCTATCCTAGCTAATCCGCTCCTAGATTTAGTTAGCTTTAATCTTAAACTACGGCTCCTAGTAATTTGTTAGCAAAGCTAATTACTAGTCGAAGCTATAGGAACGTACGAGCTTAAGGAATAGGGTAAGGATATTATAGCGCCTCCTAGTAAGCTATTTCTTTATCGTCGAGTAAGCGCCTTCTACCCTCGAGGTAACTCGTTGTCTATAGAATAGAAAGACCTTCTACTAAAAGTAGTAGGTAATCTTCTTCTTATAAGACTAGTATTTACGGCAAATATAGGTCTAGAGGGACCTATAATAAGGGTTCTTATAGTTAGAAAGATAGCCGTTCTTCTCCTCGAATTCAGGGGAATTGCTAAATGTCTATTACCGGCTAGGCTATATGTCTATTGCTACCTAAGGGGTTTTCCGTCCCGGGTATAGCGCTCTTAATAGTATAGATATAGTAGAGCCTACGGCTTTAGCTAGGAACGCGTCTCTAGCGCGTAACTTTATAGATTACGTAGATTGCGAAGTATACTAAAGCTATTAAAACAGCGGTATAGCACTAAACAAGGCGTCGTCATAGCTTCTTCTTCTTAGACTAATTATAAGGCCTCCTTTTACCTCTTATAAGGCTAATACTTTGGTAATAGACCCGGAGATCGCTAAGCCGGCGATTACTTCTAAGATATCGATTACGAGGGTACTTATAGTAGTAAAGAGACGCCTAGGGATAGCGGATTTAATAAAGCCGACCTCGAGGGTCTAAATAAGGACGAATTAGCTAAAATCGAGGCAGATAAGGAGGCTACGGCGGAGGCGGAAGAGAGCTAGTCTTAGTTAGCGAGAGAGATTAATAAGGCATTTAGTAATAAAGAGACGGTAGAAGGACTAGCCGTAGGCGTCGAAGAAGGCGAAAGCGATAATAAAGGTAATAGTAAAGGCGGAGTTAACGATAAAGGTAATAGTAAAGGCGGAGTTAACGATAAAGGTAATAGTAAAGGCGGAGTTAACGATAAAGGCGAATAGATAGCGGACCCTCCGCGAGAGTTATATCGATCGATAGAGGCTGCTTTTAAAGAGGTAAACGCGTAGGCTTAGAGCTATAGTTACGCTATAATAATGCGAGGTAGCAACGTCTCGAAGCGTATAGAGTTTAAAGGCCTAAACGCCTTTATTAGCAAGTACTATATTTATAGTAGTTCTAATAGTAGAAGCAAGGCTCGTACTAATAGTACTAGCCGCTGTCTAAATGCGATATCTACTAAGCAAGCGTATCTATAGTCGCTTACGCTAAGAGCGTATAATTACGACGACTCTTATAGTCGCTAGAAGGTCGATAAGTCGAGGAATTAGTATACCTATAAAGGAGGGTATACTAATACTAATAGTAGCGATTTTGCGGTTTACCGTCGCCGCTAACGCAAGGCGGCGAGCTCGAAGATAATAAAGATAATCCGTAAGGACTTAGATTGCAATACGAGCGCTTATATAACGATAGCGCGGTTATAGAAGAAGGATAAGAAGTATAAGTATTATCGATTGAATATTAAGTTATCCGGCCGAGCTTCGGCCGAGTAGCTTTCCTTTATATTCTTACTATTAAACCTAACCCTCTTACTAACAACGACCTATCTATAGGCATTTAGACTATTAAGGATATCAATAATGCGAGGATAATATATCGGAAGGTCTAATAGGGTGATTTGAGCGCTATAGATACACTATTCCGGCACCTAGATCGGCTTAGATACTAGTACGAATATAATACCGATAGGATACCTAGAAACGAGGGTAGGATTAACAAGTTGATAGTTATTAACCTATAAATAGCCAAGTTCTACGTCCTATATCTAGAGTACCTTATTTACGACAATACCTATAAGACTAACTACTATAATCGACCGCTTTTTAATATCTCTAGCGGCACCGGCGGCGGCACTATAATACCGCTTAGATACTGTATTATAGGTAAAGAAGATAAGGCTAGCTTTACGTAGGTATTCGAGGCCTTTAAGCGGATTAGTAACGTATACGATTTGCTATAACTAGGCTTATAGGTCACTGATCGAGACCGTAGTTGTATAAACGCTTTAGATAAGGTATACTCGACAACGCCGGCTTTAATCTATGCCTAGCATATCTTCAAGAATATACAGTTATAGGCACGGAAGTTAATGCTATAACAAGCTAAATACGACGAAGAAATAGGTACCTTTATAGGCTACGAAGATTAACTAGACTGCGAGTCGTTTATAGCCGCCTTTAAAGCCTATATAGAAGCAGAGATAGTAGCTGAATTCGAGGAGAAGAACGGCTATCTTTCTAACTATAAGAACCCTTATTATAGGTCCCTCTAGACCTATATTTGCCGTAAATACTAGTCTTATAAGAAGAAGATTGCCTACTGCTTTTAGTAGAAGGTCTTTCTATTCTATAGATAACGAGTTACCTCGAGGGTAGAAGGCGCTTACTCGACGATAAAGAAATAGCTTGCTAGGAGGCGCTATAATATCCTTACCCTATTCCTTAAGCTCGTACGTTCCTACGGCTTCGACTAGTAATTAGCTTTACTAACAAATTACTAGGAGCCGTAGTTTAAGATTAAAGCTAACTAAATCTAGGAGCGGATTAGCTAGGATAGGCTCGCGATACCTCTCTCTATAAAGAAGCCCGAGTATTCGTAGTACAACGGCATTATTTACCGCTAGGTACTGCAATTAGCTAGCAAGCAGTACTCGTATACTTAGTAGGAGGTTGAAGAGCTTATTAAGGACCCTAATACTATACGCTCGCACTATATAGGCCGCTATAAGTACGCTTAGGGAATTATATATAAGTATATAGTAAGGGATTAGCTTATAGAAACTAGCTACTTCTACTTCAAACCGGAAGACTTTAACAGGTACTAGCATATCGATAAGTCCGCTATACTACTCCGCCGCCTTATAGAGGTTATTTAAACGCGTAAACCGACAACTCTACCTTCTAACCGTAGCAACCGTAGTCGTAGCAATAGTCGTAGCAATAGTCGTAGTAATAGTCGTAGCCGTAGAGGTCGTATAGGCCGCGCGAATAGCCGTATTCCTTCGGCCTTCGAGCTTAATAACCTTAATAATACGGCTTCTTAATCTACTCGTAGACGTAGACGAGGACGAGGCCGTATAAGAGCCTCTATATAACAACTACGAGTCTATACGCCTATTAAGCGATACGAGTTTATTAGCAACGATCTAGCTAGTATATAAAGGGCCGCTCTTGCTATATAGAGATAGCGCTAAAACGACGCTCCGCCGCCTTCTAACTAATAGGCTATTTACTTAACCTTTAGGCCTATTACTATAGCTCTACTACTACTAGCAACTATACTACTAGCGAGACTATAAGGCAGTTAGTTTATACCGTAGCAAGAGCTACGGCTTTACTTAAGACAGTATTACTTTATAGGTTAAGGAAATTAGTACTAGAAGATAGTCTCTTTAAATCTATATATCTAGCGGGCTTTAGAAACCCTTCCTCCTTAACTATAATCGTTATTACCTACCCGGAGTTCTAATACGGACCTCCGTAATCGATTTTATATAGCGTTTTGTATAGCAAGGTAGTTAGAGCCCTCGCTAACTAGAACAGGCAGTAGAATCCGAGGCAATAGACATATAGCCTAGCGGCAATAGACATTTAGCAATTCCCGTAGTATACCGCCAAACCGCGGTCAAGACAAGATCTGTCAGCGGGCCAATCGTCGTGATGGCTGTCCAACGCAGTTATTGGAAATGGTCGCGACCGTAAGAACAACGATGACGCCAAGACATCCAGTGGCTCCTCCCGAGTCTCACTTGCTTGCTTGCATACTTCCATTCAATCATCATGCGACCACTTCACCTCGACCTAAAGTTCCACGAAAAGGTCGGCAAGGCAGCCGGTGCCATGCTCGATCCTCTAATTGCGCATTTCATGCCCCGAGTTGAACGCAGTGTCATCGTCGCAGAAGACATCGAGTGGTTCAAAGCGGATCGAACGGCCAAGCTAGGGAAGCCTTCGACTGAGCTGGAGAAGGAGAAAGGCATGGGGAGCAGGCTCCATGGGATGAGGTGATATCGTGCTCATTGCTTGCACAAGAATGTTCAAAGTCATCGGCGACCTGGAGGAAGATGATCGTTTTGACAAGTTCGTAGATGGAGCGGAAGGGTTGAGGGAGCTGTACGAGGCTAGCGAGAAATGGTGTGAGAGTAAGTATTTGAAGGGACAACGCAATCGATTGAATAGCAGTCATTGTCTCCGCCTTTGAGTGAACAAGGCGGCAGGCCTTTCATGGTCGACGTAGAATTCCTCGTTGGGACGCGGGTCTACCTCCCATCAGGCTTGTGGGCATAAAGAATCAAACTGCGACCGAGTGCACGTAATAGATTAGTAATTAGGGCTAGCTTCCGAACTTTCCGACTAGCCAATTACAAACATACCCAATAATTCTTCGCCTATAAGCCTAAGAACAAGCCGTGCTAAACTAGCCTATAACGTACTACTTTTTCGCGACTACGCAAATATAACAATCTAAATAGCGGAGATTGTAGCCCTACTAATTGCGCTTTATTCTACCTACTAGATAAGTCTATACGACGTTAGCGCGTTAAGGTTTCGCTATTCTACTAAGCCGACTCGACTATAGCTATCTAGATTGCTAGGTAGCTAGCTATACTACTAGAAATACCTTAATATATAATATACCGCATCGCCTAGCTAATACTTAGAGGTCCTTCTCCTAACGCCGGCGATTATTATTTAAATAAGCGAAAATTCCGTCCGACGTCTACTAACTACTCTATAGTCTTTAAGAGCAATCGATAACCTTCCTATAGCCGACTCGACACTTCGAGGTCCTTTATAGACTATTTCTAAATACCTTTTATATATAGAATAAGTCTACCTAAGGTATAGTTATTAAGTTGCTGCTATATAGCAGACGCGACTCTAAAGCTAAGGTTAAAATACCTAAAAGTCGCTACTAGGACTACTACTACTATAGCTGCTAGTACCGCTACTACTATAGCTGCTACTATAGCTGCTACTATAGCTACTAGCACCGCTACTACTATAGCTACTACTATAGCTACTAGCACCGCTACTACTATAGCTACTACTATAGCTACTAGTACCGCTACTACTATAGCTACTACTATAGCTACTAGTACCGCTACTACTATAGCTACTACTATAGCTACTAGCACCGCTACTAGCACCGCTGCTACTATAGCTGCTAGCATAGCTGCTAATATATCGAGCGACGATCTATCCTCCTTAATCTCGGTTCTACTATCTAATAATAACCTAGTCGGTAGTACTATCGCCTATAACTATAATAAGAATATAACTAGCCTAGACGACGACGATGCTACTTTACCTAGAGGACCTAAGGAATAGACTGTTCTAAAAGGCGTATAGACTAATCTACTAATCTATCTAAGCAGCGGCGGCATTCTCTCTAACCCTCTAGATAAATTAGTAAGACTAGCCGGAATAGATAAGATTAGTAACTTTTAGGATAAGGTATCTATAGATAAAGACCTTAGCGAGGACGACGAGGAGATGTCTAACGATAAAGAGGACCTCGAGGCTCGCGATAGTAATAAAGAGGAATTAGACGAAGAGGCCGCTATAGAATAGCGCCGAGTAGCGACTAACGAATAGACTAGGACAACCTTTAATAAGCGGTACGAGGAGATTAAAGCCTTAATAAAGAAGAGCCGTATTTCTATACTATATCTTATTAAGTATCTTGTCGGTAAGCTAGGTATAGCAAAATCTATAGTAGAAGACAGCTAGTTATAGCCTTATCGGTCGACTAAGCGCTTAAAGCAGTATAAGAGAAATCTCTAATCGCTTCTAGACGTCTTTCTAGAAGAGCGTCTATTTAGCGGTCGTATTGTCCGTAAAGAACTAAAGAGCCTTATTAGCCGAGACTACTTTAGTATATATAATCTAGACTTTAGTTATACTAAGTTTAACCTTAGTAGTATAAGCACTACTATTAAAGAGATCGTACTAACCTAGTATTAACTTCTTAGCGAGGAACTATTGCCTAACCTACGGCGAGATTAAAAGCAATACTAGGAGACCTTTATCGACAAGTATAACTAGATCTAGAAGCGGATTATAATAATTACCTCGTAGGTCCTATTTTCGATAGTATACGTAAACGCCTCGTATTTCCCGAAGGCGCTTAGCATCTTTCTAGTTAGTAATAGTGCTAGCCGGCGAATACTCGAGTATCTTAGCAACCTAGGGCTTGTTCCTTCGTATCGTACTATATAGATTCTTATAGGCAAGAATATAGAGGTCTAGATATAGAAGATTAGCGAGCTAGCGAACGATCCTAATAAGTAGTATAGCAAGACTATCGACAACTTTAATCGTATAAAGACCTATACTGTCTAGCGCGGTAGCGAGACTAACGAAATATTAAGTATTACTATATCGTACCTTATAGAGAATAAGAGTATCCCGGAGGGCGGTTTAAAGAAGGGCATAATCTATTATAATAAGCCTCTCGATCTAGATAATATCTTTAAGAACATATACGAAGACAAGGCCTAGGCATAGGTTCTAAAGGATATAGCTAATCTAACTGCTAGTACCGAGACAGTTAAGATTACTAAGATTAGTAAGAAGACCGCTCTATTCTATATTAACGAGGCTATCGTATACACTTTCCTAAAGGCCGTTAAAGCTGTGTTTAAGAAGGAGGCGGCAGAGGCTAGTAACGACGATAACGATAATAGTAATACTATTAGTCGTCCGAAGTAGCTAGTTATCGATAAGATGCTAGCTACCTAGACTAAGGTGCTTTCTATACTACTATCCTTTAACGACGAGGCTACGATTGTAGGTATATACGCAGTCTAGGATAATATCCTTCTTAACTTTATAGACCTAGATTAAGATAAGGACTTTAAGAATAGACCTAATAGACCGCTAATTATCTACAATAGCGACTAAATAACTGTTCTACGCGGCCTATCTGTCTACAATAAGAGTATTAAGAGTAAGGATACGTACGACAAGCGAGACAATCTCTTGTTCTCTCCTACCTAGTTCTATACTATAATAAACTGCGGCCTTATATTATTGCGGACCTATTAGGACAACAATAGAGATAGGGAGCTATTACTAGTATCCTAGACGTTGAAGGCTAATGCTGCCTTTTAGTATAGAGACAATAAGATTAGCAAGGACAAGGCTAAGTTCTTCGAGGTTTAGTAGCTATTAAAGACGAGCTTCCGATCTCGCATTATCGGTCTCGTTATTTAGTAGCTTATCGATAAAGGCCGAGTAATCATCGCTAGCGAGGATAGTCGTATAGAAATAGTAGAGGCCGCTATCTCTCGACTTACTCGTAATTAGTATGTCTATCTTATTAATAAGATATACAACGATACGTTATCTCTAGCTGCCTAGCGCGGCTAACCGGGTACAGATCCGCAGTTTACGACTATAGCTCGAATGCTAAAGGAGATCGAGCAATTCCTTACGTTGCGTAAGTCTATTCGGAATATAGATATCGGCTATCTTCGTAGATTAGTCGACTTCCTAATCCCCTTATTCTTTAGTACTCGTTAAGGTAACTATAGCTATCTAATAACCTACCTACGCTAGTTGCTTAGTCCTAGTGCTAATCTAGTGGCTTAAATAGCAATCCTAACGTCGAGTATAGTCTCTATAAACGGCAATAAGGGATATACCGTCGTAGCTAATAAGTGTCTCGAGCTCTATAATTACGAGTATTCCGAGGACATTAACCGACACGCCAATTCGACCTATAATATACAGGCTATATTTAAGAAGGTAGCCTTGAATCGGGAGCCGTCTAGGGTCTTGCGTACTATAATAACCAATCTAACTAGGATCAAGCTAAGCAGCTATTATACCTATAAGGATATATCTATCGACGTATTTAGTAGAGCCGAGAAGTTGTACTCTAATAGATATACAAAGCTATACGGAAACCCTAGCGGCAACGTCTCTAATAATATCTAGCAGCTCGGAGGTATATAGATCTTAGAGAAGGTAGCCAACTTTAACGAGGGTAATACGTAGTACTATTAGAGTCGTAGTACTATATCGATAGACGAGGAGATAGAGGCTACTACTATTACTAAGCGGGTAGCTACTAGCGACCTTAGCGCTATCGAGGATTCTACCGTCGATAGCAGTAACTCTACGTAGGCTAGTACCGTCGATCGTTATACTAGGTAGTTAGGAGAGGAGCAAGGAGATAAGGGGGCATAAGAGGCATAAGAGCCGCAAACAACTACCTATCTTAACGAGCTTAACTAAAAGGGTAATACATTCGGTATATAGAAATCTAACCTACTATATCTATCGCTTAGCTACCGTTCCTTACTATACTAATTGATATAGGCTGTTAGCTTCTAGTGCTTTAGCTTCTAGTACTTTATCTTCTAGTACTAGGCGTACGATAATAGCCTAATAGCTAGCTAGGCTAGGCTATGCGTACGATAATAGCTTAATAGCCGGCTACGAAGGGTTTAGATAGGCGTACGATAATAGCCTAATAGCTAGCTAGGCTAGGCTATGCGTACGATAATAGCTTAATAGCTAGCTAGGCTAGGCGTACGATAATAGTTTAATAGCTAACTAGACTAGGCTATATGTACGATAATAGCTTAATAGCTAGCTAGGCCAGGCGTACGATAATGGTTTAATAGCTAGCTACGAAGGGTTTAGCTAGGCGTACGATAATAGTTTAATAGCTAACTAGGCTAGGCTATGCGTACGATAATAGCTTGATAGCCGGCTAGGCTAGGCTAGGCGTACGATAATAGCTTAATAGCTAGCTAGGCTAGGCGTACGATAATAGCTTAATAACTAGCGTTACTAACTAGCGGCAGTCGGAGTCTTAGTTAAAGTAGAGGTCCCTACTATTAGCTTCGCTTTAGACTTAGTTCCTATATGAATTCAGAGCGCCTAATACTAAAGGAGGCCTCTAGTAATTTCGAGAACTGCTAGCAATTCTAGCCTTAGGCATTTAACTAGTAGTAGTCGGCGGCTATTACGTTGCGTTAAAAATGCGATAATATATAGCCGTTATTATTGCCTTACTATTATAGCTAAATAGCGCAATCCTATTAGTAGAGGCAAACCTTACCTACGAGGCGCATATAGACATCCGCTTTCTAACCTTAACTTCTTCTTCTATATATACTAACATACTAACACCCCTAGCAATATACTAGCTATCGGCGTATATAATAGTGTCGATACCTCTTTATCGTATATAGGTAGCTCTATAGCGATTAACACTATCTCCTAACTAGTTCTACGGCTTGCTACCGATAGAACCGCTTAAGTTAGTTAAGGTTCCTCGGCAGGTAGTTTATTTAGTCCTTTTAGTCTCCGATAGGCTTTATCGACGTAAGACGTTACGAAGGCGACTCTCCTAGCGAGTAGGTATACTATAGCTTTAGCGGGCGCCGACTACGCATTTAACCGAAAGAGTATAGTTTTTGTTAGAATATCGTAGTACAAACTATAGAGGTCTTAGATAGATTAGCGGAAGTAAAAACTCTTTAGTAAGATATACCTATAATGCGGCTAACGGTCTAACTCGGTAAAAACTCTTTAGTAAGGTACACCTTAAGTAGCGGCTCGATAGCGACTCTCCTACTAAGTAGGTTAATAGGTTCGTAGCATTGCTATAGGCCTAACTCGGTAAAAACTCTTTAGTAAGGTATACCTTAAGTAGCGGCTAGGCCTAACTCGGTAAAAACTCTTTAGTAAGGTACACCTTAAGTAGCGGCTATAGGCTTCCTACGTTCGGATTCTTTATAGAATAATATACGCGCATCTAGTTAAGTCGGCGTAACGCCTTCGTTAGGACTATTAGTTATAATAACCTTAGTGCGTAAGGGCCTCTAGTATACTTAAGCCCGAAGGCGCTTAGTCTTAGTCTTTACTACTATACGACTATAGCACTGCTATACGACTGCAGCCCTTTACGTATTAAGACTGCTATTCGACTATAGTACGTACCGAACCGAACTAATCGAAAGCGTATTAAGACTATTATCCGACTGTAGTACGCCTCCTCTTCTAGTAAGCGTATTAATATTGCTATATAACTACAACGCGCTCGACAACCCTTTTCTACGGTGTCTCTAATACTAAGGGCGCGGTTACACTCTATTATTGTCTAGGTACTAATAAGTGTCGCTTTAGCGAATAAGCTATTATTGTTTCGCTTAATAAGTCCCTTCCTACATATCTCGCGTACTATAGTTAGTAATAGAATGCGTTAATTATTGCGCATTGCGCGTAGCATATAGGCTATATATAATGCTAGTATACTTCGGAGTGTATACTTCTATAGCCGCTTAGTGCCGCTAGTTAATTAGATCCCCGGACGCTACTGTTCGTTTTCTCTGCCTTATATAGTAACTAGTTATCGGAATAATCGTTCTAGGGAGAGTCTAAGCAATAGAGGGCGTTAACGTAAGAGGGCTATCGTAGCTTCTCGAAGGGTGCTTTTACGAGCGCTCGATATATATTATCGCCCTACGTATCTATCCTTACTATATATATTATAGTGCTAATAGCTACGGTGTAATAAGTATAGTGCTAGTCTCGCTAGTCTCGCTAGTCTCGCTAGTCTCGCTAGTAACTTCTCGCTAGTAACTTCTCGCTAGTAACTTCTCGCTAGTAACTTCTCGCTAGTGTTAGTAACTTCTCGGGTTTCGGAGGCGGTTCTTAGTGCCTAAGGCGGCCGTCGTTATCGTATTAGATACTTTTGTTAGCGCTATTTGCTAGAAATGCGCGCAATCGGCGTATCTCGCTATATTAGTAATATACTATTATAAAAGTCGTAAAAGTCGTAAAGTCGGTGTTATAAATACGCGGAAGGAAGCAGCTATAACGTTTAATCCTATTAATTAAGCGCTCTACTATACTAAATCTAGGGTCTTAGCGGGACTCGGTATCCTTATTGCTTCCTCGAATTTACGCTTCTCGCCTAGCTCTTATATACTATCGATATATACAACTATCGATACCTACGACTATCTATAAACCCTCGTTATAAGGATACGATAGAAGAGCCTGCTTAGCGAGCTTACAAGGATATATAGAAGGGTAGTAAGGAAGGACCTTATTAAATACTAATTCTAGCGCTAATTCTAGCGCTAGCACTCGTAGAAGCAACTTAACTAGGTATCCTATATTATACGCCGGCTCTCGTAGGAGCAGCTTAACTAGTACTCGTAGAAGCAACTTAACTAGGCATCCTATATTATACGCCGGCTCTCGTAGGAGCAGCTTAACTAGGCCTACTCTTATAGAAGCAACTTAACTAGGCCTATACTCGTAGAAGCAACGCGATCGAGCGTAGTGTTACGGCTTACTTTTCCGGGGATAGGACAAGGACTTAGCGAGCTTATAAGGACATAATAGAAGCCTTATTAAATGCCAATTCTAGCGCCAATTCTAGTACCAATTCTAGCGCCAATTCTAGCGCTAATTCTAGCGCTAATTCTAGCGCCAATTCTAGTACCATTTCTAGTGCCATTTCTAGCGCTAATTTACCGCTAATTTACCGCCAATTTACCGCCAATTCTAGCGCTAGCTCTCGCAGAAGTAGCTAAACTAGGTATTATACGCTAGCTCTCGCAAAAGTAGCTTAACTAGGTAGAGTTAGCGGCGACGGCTTAGTAATCCTATCGGCGAGCTACCTAGTAACTAGCCTATAAGACGGAGACTAGCTTCTAATAGAGTACAGTTCCTACGTAGCTTACGGCTACCTCTCTCCTTAGTAGTACGAGTAACTATACTTAATAACTACTCGGCTCTCTTAGCTCGCTCCGATTTAACTTAATTAATCCGGCGCGCTCTATATCGAGGTACCTAGCTTATTACTAGACTTATAGAGGCAGGACGCTTATTACGCGGATTATCCGGACTACGAGCGATAGTAGCACCTATAGCAATAGCCGAAGCGGATAGAAAGGCAGAGGCTAGATTGCCTAGAAGTACTACCCTTAGCTTAACTATGCGACTAGGTAGGCGAGGGCCGGTACTAGGACCGGAAGTAGTAGTAGTAGTCGCTCTCTCGATCTAATTTGTACGAAGACCTATTCTCGCTACTTCGCTACGTAAGGACTCTATAATACCGGCTTAGACGGCATTTCGCGCGGCGTTCTATATAGTAAGGCGCTACGCTAGAGATACTATTAGAGGATTTAGCAATAATCGGCCGGCCGCGGATTAAGAACTAGATATTAGTCTAGCAGCGGTAGAAGTAGTAGCAGCGATAGCTTGTTGTTTGTCTACGCGCTTCTTAGCTTTCGCGTTAAGACTAGCCTTCTACTTAGTAAAGATACTCGTACTAATCCGCTTAATCTTATTAATTAGCTTATATAACGCAAATAGGCGCTAGTCGATATTTAGAGCTTTAAACTAGTCGATAAACTCTACCGATTTCTGCTTAAGTAGCCGCTAATTAACGACTATATTCTCCTATTGCTCGAACTAGCTAGTAGTAGTAAATACATTGTATATACTCTAGAGTCTTCGGTCTTCTAGAATAGTCTTTAACGGGAGGTTAAATATATAACGATAAGTCTATTCCGGGTACTTATTATTCTTAGAAGACAACTACGCCTATAGCTTCTAGAAGGCAATAGCCGGACGTATCCTATTTCCTAGCTTACGGAAGATCGGACCTATAGCTTCTGCTAGTAGCCTACTATTGTAAAGGAGATCTAGGTTAGGGTTATAGGCATTATAGTAGTGCTCGCTCGATAGTAGGTCTTATAGATATATTACCTTATCCTCGCTAAGGTATTAAAGGATTACTTTGCGAGGGTAGAGGCCTTGCTCTCGATAGCGATTATTCTAGAAATGTATCTAGATCTTTAGAATCTTCTCGCGGGTAGCTATCTCTACCTTAGTCTAATACTACGGATCTATACTAGTATCTATATCTATATCGCTTATAGCACTCGCATCGCCGTCTCCCTTAGCATCTTCTCAGGGGATCTATAATTGTAATAGGGCCGAGGAACGGCCTAGCGTATAGCGATGCCTAGTATTAACTTTAATTGCCGAATAATATAAATTAGGACGAGGCTACTTCTTGCTATCGTTAACTAGGTATAGTAAGAAGACTAGAGCTACACTTCGCTTGCTCTACTAAGGAAGGGTACGACTAATACGACTAAGCCGCTATATTAGATCCTCGATATCTCGAGTAATCGGATACTTAACTTAGGCGACAATCTCGATATCTAGAATATTCAGACCGACGCTAAACGCAGTCGTAGCGATTATAATACAAATGTTTAATAGACTATCGGGGCCCTCTATAGTACGGCTATATTGCTTATATCGACTAGTCTAGTCGCGCTTAGCTATACTACTAGTATAGAATGAGACGGTAGTATATATATTAATACCCTTGTTATCCTATATATACCGCTTCTTAGGATCGGCGTATTTAGCTATCGCGGTAACGAGCTAGATACGAATAGTATTAGCTAGCTCTTAGACCGACTTCCGACTATCGATAAATAGTAGAGCCTTCTTAATGCCCTAAGGTATCGCCTCCTTTTCTAGACTAACGCTATTATTAACTACAAAGTATAAGTAGTCGTAGCAGCTAAGCTCGTCTTTACCGATAGTCCGTAAGATATATATAGTATCTAGTCGATTAATACTACTACGAAGAACCTTAGTCTTATACAGTTTATTTCTAAGAGGTCGGAAGCTACCGTTCTTAGCTACAAAGTCCTCTGTTTCCTTAAACACTAGCGATAGTTAGCTCGGTTTAGTTTAGTTTAGACTGGCTTAGCTTAGCTTAGCTTAGCTTAGCTTAGCTTAGCTCGATCTACTTACTAGTAGCAGAATAGCCTAACTATACCGTATCGGTACGTAGTAGCTTCCGTAGAGAGAAGATCTAGGTATATTCCTTACGAAATTCCTTCTACTTAGCTACTAGGTATATCTTATCGATCACAACTAAGCCGATTCGAGCCCGGGCCTTTAGGTCTCGAAGGATAGCCCGGAAGTCCTTACTAGCTACAGTTTCTAGACTAAGGATAATATAGTAGACCTTGCTATCTATAATCTTCTAAAACAGGTTACGATCTATACTCTTGTTCTCTACGGTAATATTAACTACATTGATTAGATAGTTAGCTTGTCGGGTAGTCTCGCGTACATCCTCTATATACTCCTTACTAAGACGATTTAATAGTATAATCTTAATAACTACTATACCTATTAATAGGCTAAAGGCCTAAAAAGGCAAACTCTTGCCTTCGCTAGTCTTTACTACTATTATTACATTAGAGCAGGCAAATACAAGAGCCTAGACACTATAGATCTAGGATTCCTTTAGTATATAGCCCTTGCCTAGATGCATCTTGTCGAGAATCTATTACGGCAGGGACGGTACGCTAGCTAAGCCTAGTATATACTTTCCGTAGAACCGTAGATACTTACCCTAATACTATACTATTGCCTAACTACTAATCGTCCCTCGTATAACAATTAGTAGCTTCGCTTTAGTTAGATCTAGATCCGTTTAAATAGTACCCGAGTACTAGACGAACGGGCACCTTAAAAAACCTAAAAACCCTACCGCCGCTACTTAACGCGACCGCGAGGTCCCGTACTAGCGGTACCGACCTACCTACCTAACTATAATAACTATCTACGCTCGATATAGATACGATTACGATAGTCCTCTAAATTCCGCATATTATCTTCTATATATATATAGCTATATACCGATAGCCCTCTAATCGACGGCGCCCTATAGCCCTCTAATCGCTAAACTAGGCGGCCCGCCTTCCTTATCTAGGTTTGTTTACTCTATACTAGCACCTACCGAAGCGGGTACCGGTCGAGGCAAGAGCCTACGAGCACCCTAACAGTTTCCCGACTCTAGTCTAGTTCCTTAACTCTATACTTATCCTATACTTATAGGATTATCGAGCCTACGCTTACTCTATAAATATACTAGCTTCTATATGCCTCGATTTAGACGCCTACTCGTTAAACATCGCTTTTTGCTTTAAGGAATTCTTAGCTAACGCCGGTTACGCTAAGTTAGTATACTAGAAGTAGAGAGACCCGTTAAAAGCAGTCGTTACGACAATTACTACTTATTATTAGCCCCTAGAAGAATATATACCGCGAAAACTCTCGGACGCTAGAGGTAGTACTACCCTCGGTTTCCCCTAAGATTAGGCAGTTAACCGCTCTTTAGTTATAGTAGCAGCTAAGACACTAATTGCACTCTAAGACGAACTTGCTATTTTAGACTCGATAGAACCTAACGACTTAGCGGCTCCTACTCTAGAACTAGCACCGCCGTTACTAGATATAGTAGTGCCCGTAAGCGCAAGTCCGGATACTAGTCTATAACTACGCCGCCGCCGGACGATCTTAGTAGCTAGTATACGACGAGTTACGTACGTACGCTATAGGTCCTTACTAATAGTTTTTCCCCTAGGTCTGCGAGAACTTAGTGCCTTAGAGCTGTTACCTATAAGCAGTCCTAATTTGTCCTTACCGGTTTTAGTCGGCCCTAAGTAGCAGAGTCCTAAATAGCAAGGTCCTAAGTAATATAGTCCTAAGCCCGAGCACTAGGATATAGAGTAGTAGAGTCCTAATTAGCAAGCTCCGGAGCAATAGAGCCCTAAGCCCGAACAGTAGGAGCTCCCGGCCCTAAGCAGTCTAGAGTCCTCTTTACTAGCTCCTAAGCTTTAGCGACAAGGTACTTAGTAGCAAGAACCCCGACGATAAGAGTAAGAGCTACTACTCCCTCCCGTATCGGCTAAGAACCTAGTCGATATATCTTAAGATATAGACCCGAACACCTAGCGTATAGACTTAGCATATATAGAGCCTAGTATAGAGCGTAACCCGCCTCCTCGCTAGTAACGCTGCAATAGATTAGTCGACGCTTTCCTAGGCATAGAGGCTAGACGCCTAGTCGCGGACCGCTAGCGAGCACGTAACGCTAGCGTAGGACTATCCTCCTAAAACTAGCGCAACGGCAAGTAGCTAGCTTACGACAATCCGTAGCCTTAACGCCTACGAGAGGGCATACTACGCGAAGTCCCGGTACGCGAGAACTAGAACGCCGCTAGCGCTAACGCGGCCGCTAAAGACGCTAACGGCGAAATCCTAAACGCCGCTAACCTAGCCGTCTTGCGCAATAAAATACGCTAGCTATTTAGACAACTAGCAAATTAATAAGTTATCTAAACTTAGTAGCTTAGAGACGAGATCTATAACGAGATCGACTAGTTACGCTAAAGCATCCCTTCGAGCTTAGTATAAGATAGGCTAGACACTAGACGAGCTAAACGCCTCGCGCGGGCAGGTCTATATAAACAGGTCCCGTAGGAGTAGGTTCTATTAGCCCTACTGCCTAACCTAGTCGAAGCCTAGCCTTATTAGTTACGGTGTAACGTATAACGTAACGCTAAGGCTAGACAACGCCGCTATAGCTAAGGCGGCGCTACTAGCGAAGGGCCTCTAAGCCCGAGCCCTAGCGACTCTAGTACCTATAGTAGGAACTTTAGCCTACGAGGTTACGGTTTTAATCCTTACTATATAGACAATTTCCGCTTTATCCGCTCGCCCTATTATAGCCCGTAGCGTTCCTAGCGCTTAGAGAGATTTAACCCTATAGATATCGGGTACTTCTATCTAGACGTACTATACGTAGACTCTAATAGCTAGGATATCTATACGTACGGCAATAAGGTTACCTTTACTTCGGTATACCTCTTTCTAGACGCCGCTTACGATTACGCGGCAGTTAATTACGCCCGTATAGTGCGTACCTAGCTTACGAAGTGCCTCCGTAGAGCCGTATAGCAATAGTTTATTTATAAGCTTACAAGCAATAATTATAATACAATTCGCGGAGGAGAAGGTATCGAGCGCTAGTATAAAGCCCTAAGGGACAAGTTTAGTAGATCTATTATCGAGGCCTAGGACAAGCTATACGCCGAATCTTATATAGTATAGGATATACGCAACCGTAGAGTACCCTAGCAGTTTATTATAAACTATATCCGCTACGTACGCGAGGCAGGTCTCGAGACAGACCCTAATAGACTATACGCTCTTCTCTACTAGATATAGTTACAATTCGAGCCCTGCCTATAGGACAAGCTCGATAAGCCTTTACTAAGCGATACGATTTATACTTTTACGCGAGCCGTTAAAGACAAGTATAAAGCATAGTACCGCAGATATATATAGTCCGATAGCTACGGCACTACCCGAGGCCGTAATAGGTATAACGGTAAGTCGTAGTATCGAAACGCTCGCAATAACGACCGATACGCCGATTCCTTAGGCGTATATCGCGATACTTTAAGTCGCGGTTACGCTAGTAGGTTCGATAATCGGTACGCCGTAGTAGTACGCGGATATCGCGACAATTTAGGTCGCGGTTACGCCGGCGGCTACGGAAATAAGCGCCCTAGAAATAGTAGCTATACTAATTAAAACTAGTATTAGCGCCGAGATTAAGGAAACGATAGGCAAGCCCTAGCGGGGGAGGGACGCTAAAAAGAGTACGCTTCTAACCGTAACAATCGGGTAGAGCTACGTAATAATAATCGAGGCTACGAAGTACGCGGCGGAAACCGAAATACTAATCGTAGAAGACAATAAGATACGGGCGCGCGAAATAACGTACGCGATACCTAGGGTTAGTAAGAACGCGGCCGCTAAGGCAATAAGGCCCTACGTAACTATTACGCTAATAAGTAGGTACCGGAGCCTCTAGTCGAAAAGCCTATATCTATCCTATAGCCGCGTTCGTACTTACGCCTACGATCCGGCTTACGCTACTTAGCGAGGCTAGTAAGCCCATACTCTATACTAGCATATTTTAACGACTAGGTAGACATTTACTATAGATTAGACAACGTAGATAATAACGCCTCTTCTTAGAACTCTATATTAGTATACTATAGCGAAGTTCCGCTACTATTACCCTTTTCCCTATATATCGGCAAGCACCTTCCCCTGGCGATAGAACCTTTTACTACGATACGACCTTTGAAATTCTTATATTCAAACTGTAGCTCTAAGTTCGATAGTAATAATCTCTTATAGGACTATAGGCGTACTAAGTACGCTACGGAGCTACCGCCTAAGAAGGATAGCATCGAAGAGGACGCTAGACTTATTAAGTCCGCTACGTTACTAAAGGTTAAGGATAGATACGCGTTTCGGGGCTATTATTATCTACGTACAGTCGTGCGCCTATAGAAGGACAGTACGGAATACGCGGTTTGCCTAGATATAGGCGCTACTATATTACTTATCGACGAGGCCTTCCTACGCTAGACGCGCCTAGATATCGAGCGCAAGCGTCTAGTAGCCCTACTAAAGGTTAAAGGCGTAGGATTAACGGATATTAGTAAGTATATAGACCTCGATTTTTAGGTACCGGGAATCGTTAAGGGCTCTAAGGTTATCGCCTATATATATTATAAGATATACGTCGTTAAGGAGCTTAGCGCTAAGTTCCTTATAGCGATAGACATTATCGGCCTAGAGGGCATTAAAATCGATATGCTATACTATACCGCGACGATTAATTCTTATAAAAAAGCGAAGATTCCCCTACTAGTAGGCTATAAAGATTACGTTAAGTTCCGTACGGTTATATACTCCGGCGATAAGAACGTCGTTCTAGTACTATAGATAGTAACTTCGGTACCTATCTAGTTCGGAATAGACCTTCCTATAGATTAAGACGTAGCCTTCTACCCGCAAAACTAGGAGCTTAAGAATAAAGCCCTAACTATCTACGCCGCCGTCGTAGACGCCGTAGTAAATTTCGTATAGATCCGTAACGATACGGATTAGCTATAGACTCTACTACGATATATAAAGATAGGGTATATACGCGAGTACGACTACTATAGCTACTACTATATAGCGCCCGAAGAGCACGCCGTAGCCGGCCTTCCGCTACCGGACCTGCCGAACCCCGCGAAGGAGAGGTAGCTTTTTAATAGAGTAATAGCGTATAGTACTAAGGAGTAGGTATAACGCATCGAGGCCGTAGTAAAGAAGTACGAGGACCTATAGAGGGACAAGGGCACTACCGTAGACATCCCTAAGTCCGATTTCCTAGAGGTTACGCCTAGGCTACGAAAATAACAAAGTCTCTATAGTAGCGTACCTACTCTACGGCCCCGACGAAGAGGTCGTAAATAAGACCTTCGACCCTCTATATGCGTAAGGAAAGATATCCTTTACTACTAAGCCTACTTAGTTCAAGTTCCTAGTCTTCGTAGTCTAGAAGACGACTATAGTAGATAGTAAGCTAGTCCGTAAGGGACGTACGGTCGTAGACATTAGAGGCCTAAACAAAATTATAGTTAAGGATTCTTACCCGCTCCCTAGATAAGAGGACATTATTAAGGCACTACGCGGCTCGACTTATATTATAACGGTAGACGTAGTATCGTTTTTCTATTAATAGGCAGTAGCCGAGAAGGACTATAGTAAATTCGCGATTAATAGCTACCGCGGCTAGGAACAGATATATATAGCTATTATAGGTTTCTCGAACAGCGTATAACATATCTAGCGCTAGCTTAATAAGATACTTAAGCGATATAAATCCTACTGCCGCGCGTATATCGACGATATTATTATCTACTTCCGTACCTTCGAAGAGCACCTATAGTATCTAAACGCAGTATTCGAGTGCCTAATAGGCAAGAATATTAGTATCGTACCGTATAAGTCGTTCCTCGCGTATCTATCTACGAAGCTTTTAGGCTAACGAGTGTTAGGACTAGGATATACTACTTATAAGGAAAAGGTCTAGGCTATCCTAGACTTAAAATTCCCTACGACCCTAAAGGACATCGAATTTTACTTAGGGCTTACTAGATAGCAACGACAGTATATTCTATACTACTCTACGATTACGATGCTATTCGAGAACCGTAAGAAAGAGCTCTTACGCTTTAGCCTAGCTAATAAGGGTAACAAGCGAAAGCGCTACGTAGCTAGGACCCTAGCCTTCGATATAGACGAGGCACTAGAAACCGAGTATAAGGCCTTTAACATCCTAAGGCAGATATACCGCGATATTAAGTTCTCCTATTACGCGGACCCTAATCGCCCTATATATATCGACCTAGACGCCTATATAGGAGGATTCGCAGCGGTAGTATACTACGTTAAGAGAGATCTAGAGCCGACTATCGAGAATAGCAAGGCCGTACGCTTCCCGGCAGATTAGATACAAGTTATTATATACCTTAGTAAAGCCCTTATAGACGTAGAAAAGCGGTACCTAGCTACCGAGCTTAAGGTTAGCGGACTAGTCTAGATAGTACGGAAGGCACGAATAATCCTATAGGCAGTACGCAAGCCGGTATATATATTTTCCGACTATATTGCGGCCCTAGGTATTACTACGGTAGCGAGCCTAGCGACGACTACGTCTACGGACAAGCTTAACCTCCGTCTAGTATAGGCTAGTTAGTATCTCTCTTAGTACCCTAAGCTTAAGGTATACTACCGCCTAGGACGCCTCTATAGAATACCGGACGCCTTAAGTAGGCTCGTAGCGGACCTCGACCGAGCGGCAGATTAGGTATACGATATACTAGATCCCCTAGTATACGACGATCCGGCGCCCGCGAATAATATAATCGACGCGTACTATATATACCTATACGAAAGCGAGGGTGCGATTTGCTTTTACGCTACTATAATCGACGAGCACTCCGGCCGAACGTATACCTCTAACGAGCCTATAGTTTTCTACTCCGTACTCGTAGAACTCGCTACCGAATTTAAGGACGACTTAAAGGCGGGATATACTAAGGACCCCTATTAGTCCGTAATCCTAGCTTAGCTAAACGCTATAGAAGAACGCCGCCTACGAGCCGCCGCTAAGAGGACCTTAGACGCTAACGACAACCCTAATTATAAGGAAGCTAATATTATAGGCGAGGCCGAGTCGAGCCTATAGGGACTTTGTTTTTTCTTACGCGACGACTTTATCTATTTTAAGGACAATACCGACGGTAGAGAGAGGCTATATATCCCCCGCTCTCTATATAAGGAGGTCTTCTAAATAGCCTACGATTATTACTACTACGTAGGTTATTACCGCACTTACGCTCGTCTATACGCTAGCTTTTATATATACCGGCTCGGACGCAAGGTCTCTAAGTATATCGCTTATTACTCTAAGTGTATCCTAAACTAGACGCTACGCTATCCTCTATATAGTAAATTGTAACCGATTAAATACTAGCCTATTCTATAGTACGCCGTTACTACGGACTAGGTTTATAGCCTACTACCTAATAAAGACGGCTACGATAGTTTCCTTACTAAGACGTGCAAGTACTCTAAGCGCGTTATACTACGCAAGTGCAAATTAACGTAGATAGCGTAGTAGTACAGTAGCGATTAAATCTAAGAATATATCGAAATAGAGCGCAACCTTCTAGCTATTATAATCGGCGACCGGGACCCTATTTAGCTTAGTAACTTTATAAAAGCAGCCTTTAAGAAGTTAGGTACGAGGTTCTTCGCAACGACGGCGTACTACCCTTAGTCGGACGGCTAGTCTAAGCGAACTAATTAGACTATAGAAATCGCACTACGATTCTTTACCTCTAATTATCTAGACGCTAATTAGATAGACGCACTTCCGTATATCTAGGCCGAGCTTAATAATGCTAGAAACGCCTCGACTAGAGAGGTACCTAATATTCTAATTTAAGGATTTAAGACTAACTTAGACGCGCTAAACCCCCTTACCGAGCTCCCTACTAAGGACTACTTAGCATTAAAACAGGAGGTACGCGATTAGGCCGCAGACTCTCTCGCGTAGGCGGTAGTAATAATAAAAGACCGATACGACCGCAAGTATCGCCCTATTTCCTTTAAGACGGGCTAGAAGGTACTACTTAAGCTATATAAGGGATACCGCCTGCTAGGGAACTCTAACCGAAAGCTCTCCGCGTAGCGCACTAGTCCTTTTAAAGTAGTACGCCTAGTCGGCAACCTCGCGTACAAACTCGATCTCCCCCTAGTAATGCGTATCTACCCTATAATCTTAGTTTCGTAGCTAGAACCTTACCCCGAGGGCCGTAATCCGTACAATAGAGAGATACCTAAGCCTAGGCCGGTAGATAAAGCACCTTTCGAAAACGACTACCTATACCTAAAGGCGCCCTATTACGAGATCGAGAAGCTCCTCGGACGTAGAGTCTCTAGAGGCAAGACGCAATATCTAGTTAAGTAGCGTAGCTATAGTTACGCGTATAACGTTTAGTACGACGTTAACGACCTTCGCGACTTAGCGGAACTTGTCTAGGAATACGATCGCCTCTACCTATAATAAGCGTTACGATAGCAAGCGTTACGTTAGTAGGCGGCACGTTAGCAAGCGCTATAATAGTAGGCACCGATAGCGCCGTCCCTAAGCGCGCCGTAGTTAATAGTAGGAGAACTGTAGGCTCGGCCTTCTCGGAGGCCTAGCTTGCGTAACTCCTAAAGAACAGCTATATAGAAGGTTAACTAAGTAGCACTATACGCAATAATAGGCATCTCTATCGCGGTACGCTACGTTATAGTATTATTGTCTATAATTAAATCGCACCCTACTTTACCTTATTTTAAATCGTACCTTACTTTACTTTATTTTTGAAACGCAAATAGTTTACTTTATTGTCTTTCCCCTATTGTTACTCTAATCCGACGGGCCGTACTGTATATATAAACGGCGTAGCGTAGGCAAGGTAAAGTTTGCGTTATAATAAAGCGGAACGCCCTAGTAACGCTCTAAAATTTTTTAGCTACTACGTATATATTAAACTTAATACGATATTAACCTCCCCCTACTCTAGCGAACCTACGACTACGTACGCCCTCTAGTAATATACCGCTACCCTATCGGTAACCCTATTATATCGAGCGACGCTAGTATATCCGGCGATATTACCGCGATAGTACGCTACTACCCTTAGAATAACGACTACGGCCCGCCGCCTATCGCCTTATATATATACCGCTAGGACGAATTGTCCGACCCTAGCTAGACCTAGCTAAAGGAACGCTACTATAAGTCCCTACTATTCTTTGCCTCCTAAGAGTCTAAATTCGAGCTATACGACGACTACGCTACTACGCCGATAGAAGTAGCGTAGAAACTTAATTATAGTATCCTAGTAGAGTAGGTACTAGTACTAGTATACCGCGAACTAGACTAGCCGCTACGCGACTACGTCGGCGAGTTTATAAGCGCTAAGATCTAGACGCGAATCTATAATACGCCGATCCTACGAGTTCTCCTTCGCGGACGCGCTACTAAGATCTACCTAATTATAATCGCGGATTTTTTCCTATATAAGTACGGCTCCTATTGCGCCTTTATTACGCGTATCCGCGCGTAGGACTATATAGAAGCTACGGACTTCGCCTTGCTACTACTCGACTCGGAGCCTAGCGTAACGGACTACAACTTATTACAATGTATTAAGATTATACTCTAGGAAAATGCGAGCCTTCGTAGATATAATAAGAACGACCGCTCCGAGTAGGCCCGTTTCTTTAGCATACTAGAATTCTGCTAGTTCCTCGATTAGGCGCCCGATATATCCGACGCTAGCGACGAAGGCGTAGTCGTTACGCTCCCTAACCCCTAGTATATAAAGCTTTTCTATAACCTAGACGACATCCCTATATACGTACGAAACTACGATATCTATTACGCTATTCGAACACTATTACGACTTAATATCGATATAACTAATTACTAGAAGATAGGAGCGCTATATAGTAGAAACTACGTCTAGATAGTAGCGCCGCTATTCCGCGTACTAGTAAAGTACGGTTTCTATTCTAACGCAATTAGTACTCTATATAACGTACTTAAAGACATGCCTAGATAGAACAATACTAACGTTAACCTTGTCGCAGTCTACGACTAGATCGCTTAGGTCGCAGGCCGCGACGAGATAGAGTAGTACCTAAATCGCGACGACCTACTAGGTTAGTACCCCTTAGAGTAGATACTTACGGCCGAGCGGATACGTAACTAGTAAACGGCAGCGATATACGTAAAGGTATAAGAAAAGATTCTAGCCGTAGAGCTAGTAGACCCTATTACTAGCGAAACAACCGCGCTACTATAATATTCTATATAGATCGCGTCGACGGTAGACTTTTAAACCGAATACTAGTACTAGCCCGAGCGTACGCTTATAATCGTCTACAACTAAGACACTATCGTATAGAAGCGTAAGACAAGTAGAGAGTAGAAGGATTATTATAATACGCTATATAGCTACTAGGGCGACGAAGGCTTAAATCTAAATAAGAAGGCCCTACGATATAAGTAGGGCGCCGAGCTAAGCGAGACTATAGCAAATAATAAGCAAGACGCGCTAGGTATAGACGCGGCGTAAGACAAGTAAGACGCTATCGAGCTATAGCCTATAACGTCTAGCGCGACGATCCTAATAAAAGATACTAAGATATAGGACGTTATAGCGAATACCGAAGCTAATCTACCGCTACCTAAGGGCCGTTACCTTAAGGACTCCCTATAGAAGCACTAGCCGACGCTAATCTAGGCGGTGCTCGCGAATGTTTTCCCGCAAAAGATAACGCTCGACGCTATCTATAAGGACGTCTAGACCCTTCTTAGATATATAACAATAGCGCGTTCCGTCGATAAGGAGCTTAGTAGGTAGGTAGAAGACGAGAATAGTATAGTAATTATAGTAGACGGCGAATAGGTGCTTACCTTATACGGCTAAGTAGTATATAAAAAGGCAGTAGGCAAGCTTCCCTAGGTAGATACTAAGCTATTACAAGATCGCATATACTAGCTAAAGACTATTAACGAGCGACAACCGTAAAAGGCTACCGAGTAGCTATAACTACTAAAGGACGTTAGCAACGTAGAGGACGCCGCTACTAATAAGTCGCTAAAGGATATACCTAAGGACGCCGACTATAAGGAGGAGATAGGTCTAGTCGCTATATTATCGACTATAGTAGGAAGCAAGGCTTTAAAATAGAATACTAAGATATAGGACCCTATAGAGGTGCAAGAACGCAATAAAGAGCTCTAGGAGGTAGTAATAAAGGCAATTTTAGCCTACGTAATAGAGCCTATAACGGTAGTATAGCTAACCGAGGCTGTCTCTATTACGTTCCTAAATATAAAGACTATACTAGACGCTAAGTTCGCGTAGGAGTTACTAGAAGCTAACGTCGGTATAAGCCTTACTAAAGTAGGCGACGCGTTTATTCTAACCTCGAAAGGTAGGTTAGGGGCGAGGATTCGCGTAATAGAAACTACCTACTTTAACGACGAGTATAATCTAGGATAGTACGTCGTAGCGAACGACCCTAAGGCTAAAACGCTTACGTAAACGTACGACGAGGAGACCGAGTATAATAATATCCTAGCCTCTATCGACTATAACTCCCTAGTATACGAGAACCCTAATAGCGGTAACGACTCTCTAGTATATAACGACGCTTACGACGACGGCGACTCTCTAGTACGCTAAAACGCTAATAATAGCGACGACTTATAGTATAGCGATTAGAACGATAGTAAGCGATAGTAATACCCGATCCTAGACGGCGTCGATATAAATAGAGATATTCGAGACGCTATAAAGGCATTAGGCGCCCGCTAGCGTACTACTACTCTTTTCTATATAACGACGGTAAACGCCGTTAAAGTCGCTATAAAGGAGGATAATAATACTATCGAGCGTATTATAATAATAGACAAGTTAGCCTATATAGGACAAATTACGCTCTAACTAGTATACGAATACTAATTCCTTAGCTTAGTATATAAGACTGCTTATATAAACGAGTACTTTATATAATTTATTAGCGACTTTTACCCTACTCTAGTATCTAGTATAGACCTACGTAGTAGGCTCTAAGCTATATTCGACCGCGTTTAGAGATACTATAGAGGCCCGCTAGTCTTAGGACCGACTCTGTTACTCTATACGCTACTATAGACGCATACGGTAGTAGAGTACGACGCTAACCCCCTAGCCGCTAACTATAAAAACGAGATATCGGACGAGCCTACCGATTACGCCGAGCCTACCGATAGCGCCGATCCTACTACCTACGATAAGCCTACTAACGACACCGAGGACAATTAGGACTCTATATAAGCCGATACTAAGGACGCTAACGTTTAGGACCTTATATAAGCCGAGGACTATACTAATAACGCTAGCGACGTATCTACTATCGACGACGCGATAGATACGCCTAAGGGATAAAAGAAGGACGACGATAAGAAGGACGCCCTAATAGACGTAAAGGAGGAGAAGTAGCGCCGTATAGCGGCTAGAGTAGCTAAGATAAATAAGGGTAAGGCAGATAAGGACGACGATTAGAAAGACAGCCTAGCTATTATAGATAAGAAGAAGGTACGCTATAGAGCGGTTAATATAGATAAGGATAAGAACTTCTAGCGCTCTAGTATATAGTATACTAGTATAGAAGACTAGTTAGAGTCGTAGTATTAAGCTAATATAGTAGTACTAATATATAATATACTAGGATTTAAAACAATAGATTATATACTACTAATAGGTACCTGCTTGTCTAACTTCAAATTAGGAATAATATACTATAAGGTCGACGATACTACTATTAGCTTAAAGGATCTCGGAAAGTAGTATATATACTCCGTCGAGGCATAGGGATATCTACGCTCTAAGCGTAAGCTAATCGGCCCGCCGTATCTATACTATAAGCAGCATCCTAACGGAATATATAAGATTGCCGCTATTGCCTATTATACTATACTTATAGGTAGCAGCACCTTCTACTATAAGGCCCTAGATTAGGTTACTTAGACGTATATCGATAATATAAGCAACTAGGCGATAATTACAACTATAATACCGCTAGATATCGAGGGCGAAACTAAGCTAGTTACCTCTTTACGCTAATAGTAGGCGCGCTAGCGGAAGTACTATAAGGACCTAAACTACGACCTATATAAGAAGTAGCTCTAAATTATTTCCCTGTCCTACCTTACCTTTAAGGCCGCTACGGTAGAGTAGCTAATAGAGATCGATATCGTAGCAATCCTAGACTACGCCCTTACGAATATATAGGCCTATAATACGACTAACGAAGACGGTATACTAACGGATGTCGCGCTCGACTATTTCCTATATATAGTATATCTCTAGCTATAATTAGGCCGTATACCGAGCGTAGACCGCGATTAGGTTACTACCTATAATAAGAAGAGCTTACTACTAAAAGACATTAAGTATAATTACGCTATAGAGGACGTAGATCCGGTAAAGTTATACCGTAGACTAGGGCGTATAGGTATTATAGGACGATACTAGTCGCTTACCGACGAGTAACGCGCCGACTTATACCTCTATCTACCGGACGAGCTCGCTATAGCTATTAAGTCTAAGACTCTCGTTAGTACCGTAGCTGCTAACGAAGAAGCGCTAGCTACGCTACAACTATCGGAGAAGCGTAAGACTAAGTCGCGGTATAGCGCCGCTAACGCCGGTACCCTCGCCCTAGCCTCTAAAGGTAAGGGTAAGGCCTTCCCCCTACTAAAAGGTAAGGACAAGAATAAGCTACCGAAAATCTAGATAGGCTAACTCTTCGTACGCGCCTTATCTCTATTAGCCTCGGTACCTGCCTCGATACCTATACTTAAAACGCTAAAGTAAGTCTAGTACGTCGGCGTACGTAAGATATAAGATAAGAGCGGCGGAACAAAGCGCAAGCAAGCTAGTACTAGTACTAGCGAGATATTTAACTAAAAGAGACGACGCTAATATATAAACTTTATAACTAGCTCTAATACTAAGGCTACGCTAAAGTCGGCTACTAAGAAGACGCACGCTAAACTAGTAGACTTAGACTAAGGAGAGGAGGACATACTCGAGACGACGAGAATATATAATACAAATATAAGCGGTAAGGAAAACAAGTAGAAGCGGAAGGAGTATATAAGAAGGGGTTTAGCTAATATAGAACGCTAGCCTTCGTTCTATTAGATAGGGATACTATTACGGTAGGGACGGTACGCTAGCTAAGCCTAATATATACTTTCCGTAGAACTGTAGATACTTACCCTAATACTATACTATTACCTAACTACTAATCGTCCCTCGTATAATAGAATCTTTCGCAGTTCTTAGGTAACGATATTGCGATATACGTTAATAGCTTCTAGGGTACGTATCGCATCGTAGACTAACTACTATACTTGCCTAAGTAATGTCTTAGTATTAAAGATCTTGTCGTAGCGCTACTAGAACTAGGCTTTATATTTACTCTTTCTAGCTAGCTACTCGACTAGTAGTAAATAGCTAAAGTCTAGCGATTCTCGACTAATAGTAGCGCGACCTAGCAGCTTAGGTCCGATAGGCTAGCTGTCTTTCTTCGAAGCTACTTTCTTCGCTGCCTTGTCTTTCTTTGCCTAGGCGTAGCGCTACTTCTCGCTACTACCTAATTTTAGTAGTATTATTATTAGTAATAGATACAGTAGCGGCGGCGGCAGCGGTAAGAAAGAGATATAACTAGGATAATAGACTCGAGTAGGTTAATGCTAGTACTAGCGCGGGTATTAATATTAGTATCTATTTAGAGCTAGGCTTCTAAATCCTTTAAGCGGCGGCAGTAGCAGCGGCGGTAGCGATAGCAAGGTCGAACTCGAACTTAGAATATATACGAAGCAGCTAGCGCGCGCGCGCGCATATATATATATATATATATATAAGCGCTAGACAGTTATAGTCGCTATAATAGTAGAAACAAATAGTAAAGAGTATAGCGCGTAGCCCTAGATAGCGAGATAGAGGTAATAGTAACACTTTTTAGGCATTCTAAAGTACGGAGATTAGAGAGGTAGTTAATGCGACAGACTGTACGTACTTTGTTTAGCGCTATATATACTGTTTATAGATAAGTAATACTAGGTAGGGTAGATAGTAAACGGAAATAATAATTACCTTATCTTAGAAAACTAAGAATTAATCTTTATATTAACATTTTCGCGACTACTTTATATAGGCAATCTAATAGATTATATTAAAGCGTATAGCTACGCCCGCGGATGCAAACCGCTATTTTGCGTAGTTACGACGCTGTATTTAATCTTCGTAAACTAAACAATGATTAGGTATATATAGGTAGCCCGGTTTGACTTTAGGCGCTCCGCTGTAGCTTTCTCTATACCCAATATAGTTAGTATCGATGCCTAAGGAAACAGAATCACGTAGAAGAATCTACAACACTCGGAGCGCCTGAGAGGAGGTAGACGCGGGTGACTTCGGTACCTGCGCTAGACGTGACAAGCATGATGACATCCAGGCTCACCCTGCTGGGATTGCCAGTGCAGAGAGCAGGTGTTGTGGCATAATCCCAGTGCGTCAGATGAACATGCATCACAGGAGGAACAACCAAGGCATTGAGCGTGACTGAGCGAAGGCGGTTATGGCCATTGGAGGCCTAGTCTAACTTCACGATAGGCCTGAGCACACTCGGCCTCACTTTGAGAGGTGAAGCCTACGCCAGAACAAATCATCGCCTAACACACCGCCCCGCCCACCTTGAAGCACTTTGAGCCGCCATTCCCACACATACCCAGACTGCCGGCGGCGCGGTCCTTGGCTTGGAAGGGCATCGGCATCCCGCATGCGCCATCCGTCAGCAGCAAACCTTCAGTCTAGCAGTTCTCAGAAGCCAGAAGCTCAGAAGGCTGCAGAGCCCAATCAGGTGACTCGCGATGTGTGATTGCATCACTTCCACCTACTGACACCTCGCAATTGGAGCCAACGAGGCAGGCAGGCGTCGCCACAGAAAACATATGCGCAGCCGAGTTGATCAAACTAATCACCACGCGTCAGCGACGAGTCTTTTTGCAGCATCGTGGTGGAATGCGAAATCTTCATAACTCACGCATTCTGCCCGTCGAGTGCAACTGAGCTCCATCGCTCCCAGTGACTCGGCTGCTCGCGTGGTCGTGAGAAGAGACCAGCTCGCCGGTCACTCATTAATTATCCAGCCAGCCAGCAATCCTCGTTTCAACTTTCGGCAGATCCACCTCTTCCCTCTCATCATATTCATCAGCGCCAAACGTCGGCTCAAGCAGAAAGCAGACAACATATCCCTCGCCACAACACAAGCACAAGCACTGCCGTCCCCAGCCTCGTGCAGCAAGGCGGCCCAACTACAACGCAGGCGCTGGCATAGCCCAGCACACTAGAGCGTCATCCCGGCCGACTCCGCCTCTCAGAACCCGCCACCAGGAGGCTACCTGGTGACCCCTCTGGCGCATGGAAAACATCGTCGAAAACTCCCTCGAGCTGGGAAATTACCTCACCGACCGGTACTGGGAGAAGGGCTGGGATACATATCAGAAATACGTCAACGGAAAGAAAGTCGAATCCGTCTACACACCGTACGAGAAGCGCAAGCACGGGGGCACTGCCGGACACCCACGCTCTGCTTCATCATCATCCTCGTCTTCGTCGTCGAACAGCCGTGTCGGCCGTCGGTCAGCACCCGAGCCACCGCCGCCGCAAACGCAAGGCCATTCCCTGACTGTAAAGTCACCAGATTCAGGTGGTGGCGTTGCTCAGCGAATAGCTCGGCCTGAGCTTACCGGTTTACCAGGCGCAGTTGCGCTCGCTCAGCTTCCCACAGACGTCCGCCCAAGTACTTACCACTCCCGAGAAGAAGGCTCCCGCCGTCTTCAAGCTGAATATCTTCCCATCTCTGAGCGCGACGTAGGAAAAGAGCATACTCGCGGCGCTAGTACGTTGCTGCAACAAGAGGAAGAGTACAGCAAAGAGATTCGACGCCAGTACCGAGCTGAAACCGACGATCCCCGGAGACCAGCAGCAGAAGTTCTTCCAAAGAAGGACCTCTGGACTCTAGACGAACTAGATCCACCGAACAATCGACAGCTCAGCATAACAGGACCTTCAAGCAAGCGCGAAAGCATTCTCAAAGACTCGGCCGCGTCGAGACGAGACAGCGCCGTGATGGCATCCGGATACAACGACAACTATAATGGTAACACGCAGTACCAAGGCGAAGGTCGTGCACGCTCGGCGCAACCGCCAAAGAGTCGATACTACGATGACGACGATAGCGATTATGACGAGCGTAGCGGAAAGAGGACCAGTGGTCGGGGTCGTGGATGGGATGATCGATACGACGATCGCGACTACGACCGCGTAGAGGAGGTGACTGAGCGGTACAGAGGCCCTGTAAGTGCAGGACCACTCGTCGTTCGTCCATCAACCGTGTGTGAAGCTTTGCAGAATATGAGCTGACCATTTTCTAGCCTGTTGACCGCCCTTATGCTACGCAGAGAGGCGACAGCTACCGATCTGGATACGATGCACCATATGGAGCTGGTGCAGTAACACAGTACGGTCGTCGGTCAGATGGTGCCCTTGATCGCTCAGGAGATCGCGAGTCGTATGTCAGTCGCCGCTCCAAGTCTCGAGGTCGCAGCGATCGCGACAGATCTTACTCGCGATCCCGTTCCCGAAGCCGAAGTAATGAACGCGAGCGAGGCGAAGGAATCCGTGGTAAGATTGAAGATGCCTTCGACACCTCTGGTCGTGGTCTTGCTACTGGTCTCGCCGGAGCTGTTATTGGCGGGCTTGCAGGAAGGCAATTTGGCCAGAGACATCAGCAACGCGACATACTGATAGGCGCAGTCGTTGGAGGACTCGGGGCAAATCTCGCCGAAAACAAGTACCGCGAATGGAAAGATGAGAAGCGGGATCGGGAGGAACGATGGGAGCAGAGATATGATGGCCGCAGCAGGAGCAATGTGCGATGATGAGCACTGCACCACACTTGAGAAGCTGCATCGGAAGGCGTCTTCGACAAGGAATACTTTACGACTTTTGAAGATATGGATTATGATGGCAAAGCATGACTAGAGAGCGAGAGCGACGGTAATTTTTGCGGATTGATGAAACTCAGCGACGGAGTCTCTTGGACCAAGCTTGATGTTCTTGTAGAAAGATTCGACAGAAGTCAATTGTGTGTGTCTCAGAAACATCGTCGCTCTCTTACAGCCTTTGGCCTGCCTGGTCGCGGGCAATTTGCAGCAAATCCGCCTGGGTGTTCACTAGTTTTGTGAAGGCGTGCTGTTGCAAGCAGCATTGTACGCGCTCTACGATCGATGCTCGAGAACAGACCAGACCACTGTCTGCAACGTGACGACCGACGCTCAATCGTTGTAGCGGAGCTCTATCGTACATCGCGGCTCCCCAAATGCGTCATGTCGTTCATGTGAGACACGGACCCTTGATCTCCTCGTGAACGTCCCCATGATCACATTTCCCTGCATTCCATTCCATTGCTTCCCTGTCACAGACCTATTCCTGCTTCTTCCATCCATTTGAGCGTTTAGTTTGCCGTATTTGCTTCAAACAACGATAAGTAGACATTGCAGCGCATTGCCTCCGAGTCCAGCGCTACAGCCCCAGCGCTGCATCCCTTGGTATGGCCGCAGGTGACGCGCCAGTAATACAACGTCCTCCCTCTCAGAGCAGCGGCGAAGGCGGTATTGAGGAAGAAGATGCACTCCTGACAGGCCAGCGAACCGGCAAAACCCCCGCCACGACGAGCACATCACGGAATGCGGATCGATATCAGCGATGGCGAGAAATAGGACTATTCGTATGGGCGGTGATAGCAACAGCCGTTGTGATCGTGCTGGCTGTGGTGTGGCAGCACAACTCGCAGACATCAGGCAAGCATGGCGGCAGTGCAGGAAAAGGAGGAAAGAGGAATCTCATTTTCATGGTCAGCGATGGTATGGGGCCAACATCTCTTACCTTGACAAGGAGTTGGAGACAATATACAGAACAACTGCCTTGGGACGAGACCCTCATTCTTGATGAGCATTTGATTGGGCAGTCGAGGACGAGGAGTTCGAGTTCACTGGTCACAGACAGTGCTGCGGGAGCCACGGCGTTCAGTTGCGGGAAGAAGTCTTATAATGGAGCAATATCTGTACTGCCAAACTTCGATCCCTGTGGGAGTGTTATGGAGGCTGCGAAGAAGATGGGATATACGACGGGACTGGTTGTTTACAACTCGGATACAGATGCTACGCCTTGCCGTATTCGCCAGCCATGTGAGGAGAAGAGAGATGGAGGACGATATTGCACTGCAGATGATTGGCGAGACGCATCCTTTGGGAAGAATGGTGGATCTTATGATTGGAGGTGGGAGGTGCCATTTCTTGCCAAACAGCACTGAGGGAGGATGCAGAGCTGATGACATTGATGTGATTGACGTTGCGGGAAAGAAGCATGACTGGAATTATATCGGCAAGCGAGACGACTTTGACAACTTGGGCACTGATGCAAAGTTGCCGTTGCTGGCTCTCTTCGCGCCGACCGACATTCCATATGAGATTGATCGTCGGCATCAGGAAGACGTCTATCCGTCGCTGGCAGAAACTGCGAAAAAGGCTTTGGATATCCTCAGCGCAGCAACGCAGGACAAGAATCAAGGTTTCTTCATCATGATTGAAGGCTCAAGAATAGACCATGCCGGTCACGCCAACGACCCAGCAGCACAAGTCCACGAGGTTTTGGCTTACGACCGCGCCATGTCCGCCGTTCTCGACTTCATCGAGCATTCTGGTGTGCCGACCCTTATGGTCAGCACATCCGACCACGAAACGGGAGGTCTGGCCACAGCCCGTCAACTCCACGAGGAATACCCAGATTACCTCTGGTACCCTTCAGTCCTCGCAAACGCCTCCCATTCCGCCTCGTACGCTGCTCAGGAATACTACCTCCACCAACAGAAACGGGCAACGACAGCTATCATCGAGACAGAATCCAAAGACGAAGAAACCTACCTCAAATCTTTGATCAAATCAGCCCTCGGGATCCACGACCCAACTTCCGCGGAACTCTCCTCCCTAATCAACCACGAATCCCCAGCCTCCTACATCTTCGCCGACATGATCTCCCGCCGAGCCCAAACAGGCTGGTCAACCCACGGCCATTCCGGCGCAGATGTCAACATTTACGCATCCGACCCCGTCGCCGCAGAAGCTCTAAAGGGAAACCACGAAAACATCGAAGTCGGCCAATTCCTTCGAGATTACCTTGGTGTGAATGCGGAAGTGGAGAAAGTCACGGAGAAATTGAAGAAGCATATGCATAGCGTTGGCGCGGAAGCGTTTTTGGGCAGCGTTCCTGAGGAGCAAGAGAGGTTGGATGGACAGGATCATTTGGATGAGTATCACGGCGATCATAAGACGAGGCATAAGAGGTGTGATATTTGCGGGCATTAGGAGGACATGGTTTACACATCGACGCCTTCGTCTCTGTGGGGATCTGGAGAGGTCTTGAAAGCGGCGACTCGATCTTTGCTAGCCTGGCATAAAAAGACGATGGCTCTTCTTGAAGCATGGCTAGCCTGGAATCAGAAGACGATGGCTCTTCTTGAAGCATTGCGCGGAAGGGCTTGATGAGTCAAGATTCGCACGGCCTATGGGGAAGTCTATCTCGCGGTATTATTGGAATCGGACTAGAGGAGTTTTACTTACGAGGAATGAACAAGAGCCTAAAGAGAACGTATACCCTAGTAGTTAGTACTTCTGTATACTTGGCTTCTTTCTAGACCTGAATGAGAATATTATCTAACAATACTATAACAAGTAGTAGTGCTGCAGCGTCCGAGCACATCGGAGTGAAAGTGGGTATTCCCCAAATCCTTGCTCCTCAAGGATCACGGCGAGTAGCAACTTGTTATTCAGCGGTCCGAGCCTAGTCACTTTCACTCCGATGTGTTCAGGCGCTGTACTATCTAAGTAAGCCCTCTACTAGCTGTTATAGGAGAAGATCTTAAAGTTTCGTCATAGGTGCTTTATGTAGTAAAGCCTGCTAAGGATAAGAAGAAGACATGTCTAGCTAGGCATTCGAGAGGCCTTATAATGTATCGTTCGTTATATAGAGGAGGAAAAGGAAGGATAAGCTTTTTGCTCTCTCAAAAATTCACATCGAAGTTATCGTTTTTTTTTCTTTTTTTGACACAATCTCAAACTCTCCACTAACACCCTCAAAAGCCTGGATGCTTCCACCCAGAGACTTGGCATCGCCATAATATCGTAATCTGTACGTTCCTCGTAGCTCATCGCCATCATCATCATCGTTCCTAACCAGAAGCTCAGTATGCAGCATATCCTCGTCCTCGCCCTCGCCTCCCGATCCCCTCCAATCCCCATTCTCCCACCTCGTCTCCCAAGAAATCTTGACATCACTCGTCCCCAACGCGGTACTGGTCCTCTTCCACTCGTACACCAAACTCCAATCCTCATCATTCCTGACTTGTTCCCAGACCGCAGTGTCAAGATTCATTTTCTCGACAGCGGCGAAAGTCTGTTCGAGGCGGAAATTGTTGCGAGGATTTGCGCCGACGAAGGTCGCGGAAATGGTGTCGCCAGGTCGGTAAGATTTCTCGACGTCTTTAGTGACCTGTCCGAACTCTTTGAAGAGGCCGGCGCGATCGACAATGACGGGCGTGATGAAACTCAAGCTCTTTTCGACGAAGATGGGTGGTTTGGGGCCATGAGTATGGTTCCGATGCGGTAGGCTACTGGCCGACGCTGCAAGTTCAGGGAGGTAGGTCAGACTTAGGTTGATGTAGGCATCGAGGGTCCAAGGGCCGTATAAGGTTGATGCACCTTCGTAGCGCTGCACGCTGTATTCTTCTGGGGTCGTGATGTAGTGGGCATAAGTGTTTGCGGGCCCACCGAGGACGACCACTGGTTCAGACTTGTGAGAGTCGGGCTCGCTGCCGTGTAAAGATACAGCAGAAGTGTGCAAGGCTTCCCGCCAACGACGGCCAGCCATTGTGGTTGCCTCGCCCGGCGAGACAATGATGTAGAATTGACCGACACGCAGGAGCTGAATGTCGACGATGTTCGGTGTCCAGTCGTATGGGCGGGAGCTTTCACCAACATCAAGTAATATGGGTTTCTCCCGATGACATGCCTTTTGCGTATCATTTGGGGAATGAATGAAGCTCCTAACCACGTTCCAAAGAGGGTTTGCGTGAGGCTCATTTGGTTGGCCTTGCTTGAAGTCGAACGCGCCAGGACCGTCTGATGTGCCAGCTGCAAATGAGTAACCCAAAGCGGCAGGACAGGTATTGACTTCGGTTCCATTTGGCAGTGCAAAATGGTAGTTGCTAAGATCAGCATACTGGTGTATGCTGCGAACCACTTTTCCATGAACTGGCGTGAAAGCCGACTTGTTATCGAACAAGCGACGAGCACCCTGGAACTGCCGATTGCCAATCTCATAGCTCGAAGCGGTACCACTATCGTCACGTCCGAAGTAGGGCCCTCGTCCGTGGCAAGGTTGAGTCACATTGCCGCAAAGGCTGGTCTCGAAGTCGCAGAGCTCGCCAGCTTGAGGACCAGACTCGCAGTAAGCCCCGAACACATTCGGAGATGTGTCGCCGACATTTGCTTGACTAAAACCAGCGACGAAAGATGTGTCGCTGACAGATTTTTCGAAAAGCATTGCGGCGACGCCTTTGTTGTCACCAGTGACCAAGGTGTTGTTCCCGAGCATGCTCGTGCCATGCACGGCGAACCACGTCAAAACGCCCACATCCTGCTCTCCGGACTTCGTAGATTGACTGAAGCGTAGTGCAGTCATGGTCTTGTCGACATCGTGATCGTATCGCTGTCTTTCCAGCTCGGGATTCTGCAGGTAAGCCCAAGGACTTCTGTTGACATTCGCGTCCAGAATGTCGATTGTGCCAACACTCAAATGGCCAAGAGCCAGCGACTCGTGCGCCTGCTTGATGGAGGCGACGGCGCCTTGGACTATGGCATCATAAGAAGGTTTGTTGAAGCCTTTGCTCGTGATTTGAGGCAACAAGTAGTTCAGCCAAGCTCCAGGCCCGCTGTGAGAATGGGTACCAGTCACTGCAACGTTTTGCTGGCCATACAGAGCATAGTCGCCACCTAGTTCCTTCAAGGCGTCTAGGATGCCATGCCGAACGGCCGTGTCGCCAGACTGTGTGTCCAGCACCAAATAGACAAAGCGATCTTCCGCCTCGTGAGGATCGCCGATGATGAAAGCTCGAGAGTAGAGTCGTTGTCTCAAGCCGCTGCCGAGTTGAGCTGGGTCTGCGTATCCCATAAAATTGATCTCGGCTACTGGTCCTGTGATGTCGCCCTTCCCAACGCCAACGAGATACTCGTCGCCATCATCCCAAGCCGGCTCCTGGCTGGTATGGATACTGAAGCGAGTTCGCTCTGCCCAAAGGTCCAACACAGAAGGACCTAGTCTGTGCAGCACGTTCAAGGTCGAGAGAACAAGAATGACCACAAGCGCTGCAATGAGCACCGGGAGTGGTGAGCGGCGCATATTGCTAGGCTGAACTTCAGATGTGTCTCAACGAGTCATGGTTCTGCAGTCGTCGCCAGCAACGACTATGCTGAAGGTGTGAGAAAAGTAGATAATGGTCCGGGATGCAGTTATGAAACTTCTGATGATGTGTAGCTCCCTCTTCACCGAATCCTCCTGCCACCCTCGAGGCTTCAGTGATGATTGAAGATAGATTGGAGGCGTTGGTTCCATGTCAGTGTCGCCTGACCTAAATACCGCGGCTTCTGCTGCCGACTCTTCGCTGCCAAAACTTCACGCCAACACGTCAACTTTCGCGACAGCACGCCAAAATTTCACAGCAATGCCTCTGATCACGAGCGCGCCGGACGCCCTCTCTTATATCGATGCGCCAGTGTCAGATCACCAGCTGGCAGCGGCGAATGCCTTGATCCAGGCCGAAATCGATGCAGCCCAAGCGACGACATTACACCCATCTACACCAGCATTGAAGGACGCCAAATTCTCCGACTTGATCGAAGCCGAACATGCGCGCATCGCCTCGGGCCAGCCCAAGCAGAGTGCCTTAGATCTGAGCCGATATGAGCTTCAAGATGCTCCAGGAAAAGGCGACTTGGCGGCCTGGAAGACGACACTGAACAAGGCATACGCGAGCGCAGAATATTTGCGAGGCAGAGAGATCAATTTAAGCTTGCTGGAGACGTACGGAAAGAATGCTTGGCTCATCAGTAACAGTCAGTTGGAGCAGACTTTGAAGGCGCTGGAGAGAGAGCTCGAGGCTGCAAAGATTGAGCAGGAACAGGTCGAGCAGACGAGGCGCGTGGTGCAGGGCAATACTGCTGGGGAAATGCAGGGACTTGAGGAGGGATGGAAGACTGGCGTGGGCAGGATGATTGAGGCTCAGGCTGCTGCGGAGAGGTTGAGGCAGGAGATTTTAAGGAGGAAGAGGGAGGGTGCTGTATGAGGACGATGGGCAGAACACTCTCACGGGAAGATTCATCGAACGACTGTCCTGGCTCTTTGGACACTGTGACGAGCTGATGCTGTGCCTGCGCTCTCATGGCCATGGACTGGCATCACGAAGCAGAAGCAGCGAAGAACACAGCAAAGACTCCGAGGGTATCTTGCAAATTTCGGCTTATCGGCAGACGAAGCACGAGCCATGACAAGGCCTGGTCCAACGCTGCGACACGAAGCCCGATAGCACGACAATGCCGTGTGTGGGCATCACAGCGTGCGGGCTGATGATGTGACAAGCCTTGAGCATGGCGAGTAACATCACGAGGAGATATCATGCTCAAACACAAACCTCCATTTGACTCGAGATCATCTCCGCACCTCCTGGTATCAAGCGCTGTAATACGCAGCAATCAATGGGCTCTCGGCTGTTATTGCTCAACGAATATTACCTTTGTAAAATTGGCAGATCCTGCAAATGCGACTGGGTTTGTGGTATAATATTGGTCGCTCTAACGACCCATGCCAAAGGCAGGTTTTCCTATATTGCAACGATTTAATGCCTCCAGACGTACGCGGTGAGTGAAGAAAGACAAGTCTTGCCGTTATGTCCTCGATAACGTGTAATGTTTGCTGTTTGCTAAAAAGCGCCTGTGAGCAGCACTTCGTTCGATGACGATGCCAACGCATCTCGCTCGAGAACGTGAGCATAGCACTCGAGTCTATCATGTGAAGCTGTCACACACATCTTCCCTTCTCTGCATCCATATATTGACGCTTCGTTTCTGCTCCCATCACAGCAAGCTCAATACCGAAAGCGCTAGATCCTACCGCAAGCCAATGGCATCGGCATCGAGACCCATACCCTCCTGGTTCAATAACCTCCCATCTTGGATCCAATCTGGGCGGGATTCCTACAATACAAACAACGATGACAGCTCTAGAGTGTCCTCAATTTTGTCAGCGAGCACTCGAACCAAGAGAAAATCTAGGGCTGAAGCTATGAGGAAGTTAGAAGGTAGAAAGATGTCGGAAACAACGACTGGCTCAGCGAGAAGATTTTCTGGAGAAGACGAAGAAAGCGAAGATGAAGATCCTTGGACGGATCCTTGGCAATGGCAAAGACCGCCTCCTCACACGCGGAGAAGTTCTTCTGTGTATTCGGATGCTGCGCGGGAGCTCAAATTCTTTGACGAGCAAGATCTTCATAGCCGGAATCCGTTCGTGGACGAAGATCAGGAAGAACCGAAGAAGCTTCACTCTCCTCGCCATGTTGAAAAAGACCAGGAACCGAGGAAGCAGGACCTCGAGTTACAAGTCAGAAATGCTCTGCGACAGAGTCATTCTACCACTGGAAATTCGGAGCTCACTCATCCTCCCAAAGCATATTCTGTGCTTTCGAGGACCTTCTCACTGACACCTTCGGACTCGGCATATAGGCTTTCATGGCTGCACTCGCGAGCTGCTCAGGATGACGATGAGGATCGAAAGATGCAAAGAGCGTGGCGAGGTGCGAGCAGGTCCTATCATCCGGAGCTGAGTAGTGAAAGAACTTCGCAGGAAAATATACGAGCCCTGGGGTGGCGGTTTGGTCACACAGTCGAAGCTCCTCCGAGTGTCTATCAGTCTTCTGTCGATTCGAAAGCGAGTCCATGTTCTGGCCAGACATTTTCCGAGCGACAGACACTCAAGGCCCACGGCGCCGGAGATGCATCGACAAAGTTTGAGTGGATGCATTTTGTTTCCGGCTTCCTTGTGTTCTTCAACACTTGGGGTCTGGTGTGCGCATTCGGAGCTTTCAGATCGTACTACGGCCAAGTGCTCCTTCCAGAAAACAAGCAGGTCTCCATCAGCTGGATTGGAAGCACACAGCTTGCAATGCTCTTCTTTGGTCTTGTGCCTGCTGGACAACTGGTGGCGCGAGGACTTTTCCGATCCGTCTTCCTGTCTGGGACCATTTTCCTCGTCACTGGGATATTCAGCGCCGGTTCGTGCGGCTCCTTGTCTACTATTTGGTTGACTCAGGGGTTGATCGCGGGTTTTGGGATGGGTCTGGTCTTTGGATCAGGTTCTGCCTTCGCAATGCAGATGTATGCAAGGCTTTCTTCCAAGCTGCGGGTTTCGGTTCTTGGGGCTCCTGTAGGCGGCCTGTGCTATTCTCTACTTGCCCCCAAGCTGATAGCACATTATGGCTACAGGACCACGATGCACGTCATGGCAACGGTAATAGCACTTACGATGATGTTGCCATTGGTGGTGCTTCTGAGAGCTGCACTACGACTCAGCAGGATGGAGAACGACTCTGGCAGCGGAATGCATTACGAAGATTCTAAGCGTCAGCTCAGGTTCGGATCTTGGTTGTACTCGGGTCTTGTGGCCAGCGGGCTGTTCTTTGCATCAGTCGGAGCATACTTCGGCCTCTTCTGGCTGGATTCGGGTGCACTGCTTCCTTTGCAAGCAAGCATATCGCCAAAACTCGTGATGGCCGC